ACACACACACACACACACACACGCACACACAATTATTTTTAAATCTTGTTATTATTCTAGGTATCAGTTCTTTTCTGTTGAATTGTCATGATAATTCTTTCCTTACATTTTACCTAAGTTAAAATGTTAAGTTAATTTAGGCATTTATGTGTGTGAATTTAGTTGTGATGTCATGAAATATAGCATCTCTTTCTATATATACCATGTACAGATAACCTTGTAGGTTATTGTCATTTTTCTATAGAGTTATTAACCTGAAAATCTGAGTTATTTAACCCTCCACTCAACCTTAAACACTGATGTAAAAAATAGAATATACCTAACACTCAGTCCCTTGTTAAGCCTTACACTCATTAGTTTATAGTGTGAATACATCGGGCTTCATCACAAAACAGAAAGATTTAAAACTAGCTAAATATTCTATTCTATATACCTTCCTTTTTCCTCCTTCCTACATGCTAATTTTGGGAGCAGACCTATACCGTTCTCTCCTTTGAAAATCTCTCTGAGTTCTATGTCCCAAAGTATTTTCTCCCATGAGTCCACACCTAACAACTTCTGCTTGAAACTTTAGGATTCTGAGAAACCTAGTCTAGGTGCATACCCAAGTACTGATTTTTTTTAGCGTGTGAATCTCTCTCTCTCTTTCTCTCTCTCTCTCTGTGTGTGTGTGTGTGTGTGTCTGTCTGTCTGTCTGTCTGTCTGTCTGTCTTCTATCCCTGTGTTCTCAGTTTAGTCCATTTCATTACTTCAACAAATTGAGATGTTTTAGGTAAGTGTCAGGCATGTGTAGTGGTCTCAGAAATACAGATGAATAGGGCAAACACAGCATCTGCTCTCTGGAAGGTTATGTCTTATTGCATGGACCAGAAATATGGCAAATAATTAAATACATTTTTATTACAGTTCTGATTAGTATTATTTATTTTTTATATCCCTGAGCCCTAATTTATCACTCGGTGATTTAAAATCAGTGATAACTAATACAGTGATAAAATCCACAATAAAAAATCTGTCATAGGCAGAATCTATCTTTTTTTAAGCTAAAACTTAATATTGTAAGATTGCTTGTGTGTTCCAGAGGTCATGAATATTAAACCATGTGAAACTATGTGGCTAAGTAAAGAAAAATAGACCAGGGGTCTATTTTATGATCTTTTAGTAATGCTGCCATCAAACAGCTATGGAAGCATGTGTTGTGAGGCTACTCTTCCCCACTCCCTCCCTGGGTCTTCTCATGTATGAGTGAGGCGTGTTACAGGTCTCCGAGATTCAGTTACATACCTGAATGGCTCTGAGTCTGTCACACACTAAGATGTGTGTGAAAAGGTCTCTGCAGAGCTGTGGACCCAGCCAAATCTGGCCACTTATTGTATGCCCTTTGCAGGAACACCATGCTGAGCCTTTGCCTTGAGAATGCAGAGCTGAAAGAGCAGATGGGAGAAGCAATGTCTGATGGATGGGAGGTCGAGGAAGACAAGGAGAAGGGCGAGGTGATGGTGGAGACTGTGGCCGACAAAGGGGGTGTGGATGAGAGCAGCCTTCAGGCTGAGTTCAGAAAGGTCCAGGGGAAGCTGAAGAGTGCCCACAACATCATCAACATCCTCAAAGAACAGCTGGTCCTGAGCAACTCTGAGGGGAGCAGCAAGGTGATGCCAGAGCTCCTCGTGCGCCTGGCCAGGGAGGTGGACAGGATGAACACAGGCCTGCCTTCCCCTGGGAAGAATCGACACCAAGAGCAGGAGAATGTGACCACAAGGCCTGGCCCCAGACCCCAGAGCCTCAATCTCGGGGCAGCCCTCTCAGTGGACACCCACCAAGTAAGTGAGGGCAGGGTAAGGTGAGAAACCCAAAGAAGGGCCAAGGTTTCAGTTTTTGTGTTACACTGTTCTGCCACGTGGGTCAGGAAGTACTGAGGGGGGGTGTACTTTGATGCTGCAAGCAGGGCTCTGTAATTGGAGGCATCCATTCGGCATTATTAGAAAGGGTTCCATACCATTGAATGGGTGTTTCTGAGCATTTAATTCCTAGTTACACACTGCGTTGGATGTGGGTTATGAGTTGATGTCTGCCCTCCAGGTGCTCAGCATGTGGAGGAGAATGTTCAGACACTGACTTCTTGTTGGATGTGACTGCCATACTATTGGGATGCTCTGGGTCTTGATGGAGGCCAGACCAATGGTGTGCAATGCTATCTTCTTACCACTGCTGCTTCCTCGGAGGTTCTGGAGTGTCTGTGTGATGGCCTCGTGAGAGGTCACTGATACCCTTCTGAGGGAAGGAACTTTGCCTTAGATTTGGTGAAATAGAGAATTCTGAGAAGGGCTCCAGGGACAGAAATGCAGAGAGGATGGAGTGGAGATTTCCACATCTTCCTTGCAAGCGATTGTGTAAATGTTTACTACAGGCTGTTCTAGAAACTTGACTGGCACTGTGCTGCAGTGCTGCAGAGAGAAACATAAATGTAACATTATCCCAGCTGCCCGGGAGCTGCCTGGAAGATAGAGAACTGCCAAATGGCCTGAGAACTGCTGTGGCAAGCACGTAATGCATGCAGTCCACAGTGTTCAGAGACAGAGAGGTGGCTGTCACACATAGAGGGTAACCTAATACTTGTACTGGGTCCTTTCACAGCTGGAGAACAAACCCCAGGCCCAAGACTCTGGACACCAGCCAGAATTTAGCCTATCAGGGTCCACCAAACACCTGCGTTCCCAGCTGGCTCAGTGCAGACAACGGTATCAAGACCTCCAGGAGAAGCTACTCATCTCAGAAGCCACTGTGTTTGCCCAGGCAAACCAGCTGGAGAAGTACAGGGCCATATTCAGTGAGTGTCACCAACTTATGGTCATCAAAGTGTCCTCTCCCCATGAAGTCACCTGTTTCTCAGCTTTTATCTTTCTACCCCAACCTGTAAACACTTCAGCCACGACTATAGTTATAGAACTGTGTGTGAATATTTTACTCCAACCTGTACATGGATGTAATGAATAAAGGAAGAAAACAAGGTTTTAACATTACAGCGATGGGGCTGGGGGTGGCTCAGTACTTTAGAACACTTGCTTCTCTTGCAGAAGACCCCAGTTTTGTTCTCAGAACCCACCAGGTGTCTCACAACCCTCTGTGACTACAGGTCAGGGCATCCAACACTCTCTTCTGGCCTCTAGCTATGCACACAGTGCACATATGTACACACAGGCAAAACATTCATTACATGTGAAGTAAAGATAAACACATCTTTAAATCTAGGTTGAAAAATAAAGGGCTGAAACAGATTAACGTCTGTACTTGCTGATTTCCAGGGCTGTCAGTTAGCTGACTTGGTTCTCTGTGTGTTATGTTTCCCCTCCTTTGCACCGTAACAGATTCTTCAAAATCCCAGCATCCCTGTTGCTCTAGAATCAATACTTAACCCAGGGACAGTGCTGCATGAACTTAGCAAGCTGAATTTGGTTAGTTTGATAAAGAATAATCATAGGTAGGTAAGTGCTACCTTATTGGACAGGGCAGGGCTAGATGTCTCAAGACTCTTAATCACCTCAGCTCCATTGAAACTAAGACCTTATAGACACAGGGCCTAATGATTTCAGTGGAGCTTCCTGACACAGCAACATGTAACTCCTGACTTGTCCATGTCTAGTCTCAACTAAGCCTCAGTTTTCAGAAGAGAGCCTCTCCATGGCAACCATGGGCTCACCCAGGTGGGGAGGGTGCCTATAAACTATAACAGGCTGTATCTTCTCCCATCAGGGTCCAAGAAAACCTCTTCCCCAGCCTGGCTCTGACTTCTTGGCCTTACAGGCTAGGGTATGTGCCGTTGAGGTTGGGGTAACATGTGGGACCCTATTCCACCCACTGTCTCTTCCCAAACACAGGTGAATCCCTGGTGAAACAGGACAGCAAGCAAATCCAGGTGGACCTTCAAGACCTGGGCTACGAGACTTGTGGCCGGAGTGAGAATGAAGCTGACCGTGACGAGACCACCAGCCCCGGTAAGCACACAGGGCCCCTTTCTCTCTCTAGAGTCAAATGCTGCATTTGGACGCCTGAGGCCACTCCCACCCATGATGAGCAGTGGGGCAGGGGAGTTGTGACTGAAGGAGACCCAGGACCAGGGAAGGACAGGAACTTTGGAGAACTCTTCAAAATGGGGCAACCAGTTTGAACTTCTATAGCTTCTAGCACACGGCTAATAAAAAAGAATTCAATATAACTGCTATTATAGAGAAATACCTATGCTTTTTTATTAGGAAACTGATATGTGGGCTTTGATGTATACCTAAACTTAAGTTTAGAATAAAATTTTGGTTTTGTACTCACAAAGGACTATTGGGAACCACAGAATTCCTACAGATTTGAAGCTGAGGCAGTATAGTGGGGCAGTCAGGGACAGATATCCAAAGATCAGACTGCTTGGTGCAAACCCAGTTTTTCTTTGTGCCTCAATTTCTCCATCCGCTAAAACAGCAATAAAGCAATTGTCCAACTCACTGGGTACTCATATCAACCGAAATGAATAAACTCTAGTAAAATACCCTGACCAACATTTTACTAGTAAAATGGTGACTGACTGTCATCGTGGCTGCCACCGCCCTGGCACAGCTTGTGGTAATATACTGACTGATCTATTTGGAAGGTCTTGTTTTCCTGGGCCTACTTTTCTTGCTGTTACAATCCAATAGTTTATTTTTTGGTTTTTTGTTTGTTTGTCTGTTTTGTATTTTGTTTTGTTTGGTTTTGGTTTTTCAAGACAGGGTTTCTCTGTAGTTTTGGACCCTGTTCTGGAACTCACTCTGTAGACAAGGCTGGCCTCTAATTCAGAGATCTGCCTGCCTCTGCCTCCTGAGTTCTGGGATTAAAGGTGCATGCCACCACTGTCTGATCTAGCCCAATCATTTTAAGTTATAGCACTGTTCCGGGATGTTGCAGAAGCACTGTTGTTTTGTAGTCCTTATGCTCATTTTAAAGCTATGAGGCTTTGTTAATGTCTCACTTAGGAGGCACTGACTGACTTGTGTGTTAAGGGCACAGGGCACAGGAGGGTTTGGGTCTGCTGTGTGTTCTGCATGGTCTGTGACTAGCTAGCTTACCACCTTCACCGCCTCCTGGAGAGCTTTTGGGTTCTCCAGCCAACAAGATGAAAAGTGGCTGCACCTTGCTCACAGGCCTATTCAGGAAGGAATGCTAAACATGAGTGCCTAACATACAGCCCGACCTAAAGAAAGCACTGCTCTGGGTTTTACCCCAGCACTTGATCCTGTGACCAGCCTGTTCCCCACAATGGAGTGGCCACAGCAGCACCTCCAGCTCTTCTTCAGGAAGATGTCTTTCTCTCTTTCAGAGTGTGAGGAGCACAATAGCCCAAGGCCTGTGATGCTCCTGGAGGGGCTGTGCTCTGATCAGGGGTATCTGGACCCCGTCCTGGACAGCCCACCTGCAAAGAAGCCTTTCGGGAACAACCTGGGGAGGCAGGAGGAGTTTCAAGTGCATGGCAGTTCTGATGACAGCTCTATCCTGAGGAAGGACATCAGAGATCTGAAAGCCCAGCTCCAGAATGCCAACAAAGTCATTCAGAACCTCAGGAGCCGGGTCCGGTCCCTTTCAGCTACAAGTGATTACTCCTCCAGTCTGGAGAGACCCCGGAAGCTGAGAACCATTGCAACCCTTGAGGGGTCTTCACCTCATAGTGTCACTGATGAAGATGAAGGGTGGCTGTCTGATGGCACTGGGGCTTTTTACCCTCCAGGGCTACAGGCCAAAAAGGACCTGGAGAGTCTCATCCAGAGAGTGTCCCAGCTGGAGGCCCAGCTCCCAAAAACCGGACTAGAGGGGAAGCTTTCTGAGGAGCTTAGGTCTGCCTCGTGGCCTGGGTAAGGGGGGAACTGTTCAGGCCCCACTGATTGATGTCTAAGTCTGTGCTTGGAACAGCAGCCCTGGCAGTTGTAAGGGAGAATGTATCCAGGTAATCAGAAGGGCACTGCTTGAATAGAGGTTGAGCTGAGGGGAGACACAGGGCCAACCAGCACCACATCGGATGGTGGTGGCAAATCTCTGGGATGTCCTGTTAAAGATGTTAAAAATGTGACAGTTTAAGTGGTACAGGGTAGCGATGAAACTCAGTCTCGGAAGCCTGACTGGGAAACCCAGCCCTGCAATTTACAAGCTATGCAAACTATTTAACCTTTCCCCATCTATTTACTTATCTATGAAGTGAAGATAAGTGAGAACCCAACCCAAGGACAGTTACTGGGCTTAACTGAACATGTGCTTCTAGTATCTGGCACATATTAAGCTCTCAATACTATTTTCAATTATCAGGGTTACTAGTACTTTATGCTGAAAAATATTGAGTAGACAACTCAGCCTATGTCCTGATTCTACTGCTAAGTTAGGAACCTCTCTAAGGCATCGTGACTTTACCAACTCTAGTGGTTCTCTGGGATGACTGGATCTCCCATGTGGCTGCAGTCAGGTCAAAGCTGTGGCCAGAGTGACCTGATAGGCTGTTTTGAGGTGGGCATGGATTCTTTATCCACGCCTAAGCTCCTGCTTCTCCTTTCTCCATGTGGCTTTATTGTCAAGGCTGTCTCCTCCAACTTTGGTTTGTCTAGTATCTAGGACAGGAAATACATCTCATCAGGCAGCTAAAGAACTACCCCTCAACTTGGCACAGTGATACCCCCATTGTGTTATCTAGATTTACATGGTCACAGAGTCTTCCAGACCTAACTATGTAGAGAATAAATCTTTCTCGCCAGTGGAAACTGGCCAAAGCCATGTTGCAGGACAGCATATAACATAGGAGACTGTAATTACTATGTTTGCAAAATGCCATCTGCCACAGAATCAGAGCATAGAAGAAATTCATGCATCCTATGGCATTTGAAATAGAAGATAGAGAAATTCCTTGATAGGCTTATGATTAAAAAGTTGTAAATATTTATAGAGTATCTACTGTGTGTCCACACTACATGAAGCCATCTGAGATGTAAAATGTGGGGTTTTCTTTACTCTCATAAAACTCATGGCTTAGTTTTGAATAGAAGAGCTAAGAACAATGTCTCCCTAAACATTTTGGTGCCATAGATTTTAGCATGGACTTTACTTTTAAACACCTTCCATGGATAGTATGATTCCTGAGTTGGGGAGTCCCTTAGGTATGGTCTCACAGAGGACTCTGAGGAAGCCACCATAACTTACCATTCCCTCTTTTTCCATTTTTCCTCTCCTCTCTTTTCTACATTAGAAAATATGATTCCTTGATTCAGGATCAGGCCCGAGAACTATCATATCTGCGTCAAAAAATACGAGAAGGGAGAGGCATTTGTTATCTTCTTACCCAACATGCAAAAGACACAGTAAAGTCTTTTGAGGACCTCCTGAGGAGCAACGACATTGACTACTACCTGGGCCAGAGCTTCCGGGAGCAACTCACCCAAGGGGGTCAGCTGATAGAGAGACTCACCTGCAAACTCAGCACTAGTAAGTTGGTCACTGGCACAGACTTGGGCTCAGGTGGCTACCACTCCTTCACAACAGTATTTTATCCCACAGTTCAGGTTCCCTTCACGTCTTGAGGGTCTTTCTGAGTCAGGACTCCACGAGCAGCACCAAGCATGGCTGTTACATCTGTAGAGCTAGGCATAGTGGCACACTCCTATAATCCCAGAACCCAAGAGGTCAAGGTGTAAAATTATGAATTTGGATCAACCTACAGGAAAAGGGACTTGTCATCTCAGATACAAAAGAAGGCTGATGTGAAAGAGTTGGTGGTCTCATGGCTGTGTATGTAGAAGCCAGGCTGCCACAGAATGTGGAGGCTGGACTATTGCAGAGGATAGCTGGGGAGGGGTCTTGTGATCAGTGAGATTAAATATATTTCAGTTCTTAGCCCCAGTTTGGACATATGAAGTCATGATTGTGAGCAGTAGGTCAGGGGTGACTTCACTGGTGAGCTTCGGTGAGCTGCCTGCTCACCTCCCGAAAGACGAGTTATCATAGGGCTTCTCTCACAAGTGGAATCAGGAGATGAGCTGCCAGATGATAACAATGAGCATGGAAGCAGGAGGCCAGATACTAGGGAACAGAAGAGGGCCCAGCAGGAGCGGTGAGGATAAGTGGGAGCCACAGAGGAGTTTATGATCAAAGTATCTTATGTACATCTGTGGAAGTCTCATCATGAAAGCCATCATTCTGTATAGTTAATTTATGCTGGGGAAAAAAAAGGCATAGCCTATGGCTGGGGAAGCAGTTCAGTCAGTAAGTGCTTGCCTTTGCAAGCAAGAAGACCCGAGTTCAATCCTCAGAGTCTGCATAAGAAAACCTGTATATGGTAACACATACTTGTAATCACAGCCCTGGAAGATCCAGAGACACATGGGTCTCCTGGGCTTGCTGGCCAGACAACCTGGCTTAGTTGGTGAGTCCAAGTTCAGTGAGAGACTGTCTCAAAAGGGAAGGAAGAAAACGGTGGGTGGGTAGATCCTCTGAGAAATAATACCCAAGGCATTATTAATTAATAATACCCTGGCCTCCCTAAGCATGTGCACAAGTTCGTGCAAACACACACACACACACACACACAGACACACACACACACAGACACACACACAAAGACACACATACATGCACACAGAAAGAGAGAGACACATACACAGAAGCACACACACATACACACACACACACACACACATGCACACACACATACACACAGAGGCATACTCATAGAGACACACATACATATATACACACACATACACATACATATACACACAGACACACCCATACACACACACACACACACACACACACACACACACACACAACTTTCCTGAACCTATGTGTAGCATAATCACTGTTCTGTGTTCTAGTGGGACTCATGCTTTCTAATGTGTGACATAGAACCTGCTTAACTTCTGTTTCTTTCTAAACTTGATTTTCAGAGGATCATAAAAGTGAGAAAGAAGAAGCTGGGCTTGAGCCGCTGGCCCTCAGGTAATTCAGAAGACAGTCTAGCAAAGGGACACAGACAGGGTAGCCCCAAGGTCACAGGCCAGAAGGGAAGACTGAATGATATTAATTCATTTGTTCATCGAACACTTATGTTTTTTCCAAATTCTTCCTTTTCTTTTGATATAATGTCATTGCCACCGTAATGCTTCGGGAGTGGTAAGCTAGAGGCAGTCTTGACTCATGAATAAACCATGTGTGTCTCAAGAGTCTCCTCCCTGTCCCTGCACTTCCCACCCCATGAGCTTCCTGCAAGGTTGGCCTGCCCTAGACTTTATTGACAGCTAGCTCAGCAGTCACTTAATGTCCCTGGAGAAAAAAGAATCCTTTGACTATATGCAGAGAAATAGGTAGAGATGGTGCCAGTCCCTGGAAGGCAACAATGTTGCCTTAGGGAAAATATTCAGTCTGTAGTGCTCTTGAAGACATTGGCTCAGGGTCATTTGTGGCCACTGGTTTGAGCTCTTTTTGCCATGTTTGTGCCTCAGATCATGTAAGTGTTTCTCAGAATATTTGTGGTGAAGGACACAGTGTTTGTGGACCTACACTTGCATCAGCTAGATAACTTCACTTAGCATAGTTTTGAATGTTGAGATGTTTGTTCTACAGTTTTCAAGGCTTCCTTTTAATTTTTATATTTATTGGAGATGCTAATAGTCCTCAGACTGCTGCTGTTTTAGGGGCCATCCATTAAATAGCCATGCCTTAAAGGACAGGCTGTGCCTCTGCTGTTGTCAGCATGTGACCTGGCCACTGTGTGGCCACTGTTGTCTATCCATTTTACACCACACATACCTAGAGATGTGTTCTTTTTATATTCTATACGGAATGGTGCCTTTGGCTTACGTCGGTTTTCCTGTAGGCTTTAGTGAGGGCTAGCTAGTCTGGGTGACCTTGGTTTCACCTGTGGTCTGCTCCTCTCCCCACCAGGCTCAGCAGGGAGCTACAGGAGAAGGAGAAAGTGATTGAAGTCCTGCAGGCCAAGCTGGACACCCGGTCTCTCTCACCCCCCAGCAGCCATGCCTTGTCTGACTCCCACCGCTCTGCCAGCAGTACGTCCTTCCTGTCTGATGAGATAGAGGCCTGCTCTGACATGGACGTAGCCAGCGAGTACACACTCTATGATGAGAAGAAGCCTTCGCCTGGTCACTCAGGTAGCCTCCACTGTTGGAATGGCACCTCCTCTGTCTAGACTGAGAGGAGACCTTGGGATCCAGGCCTTATAGTCTACTTTGGTGTATCATACTGAACAGAACATGGCTTTGGGACCAAGTCCCAAGCCCAGGCTCCCATTGGTTAGATCCTCACTCTATCGCTGACTTTATAAGTAATTGTGTCACTCTGAGTTCTGCCATCATTGACATGTGACATGTAATCCCGAGTGAGAAGATGGTGACCAACCTTCACTGCTCATTGAATCTGTCTGATAGACCTCCTTCCTTGAGGTAGAATGCCTCATGGCCTTGCAGTTTCTGCACAGTGGCCCCTGAGTATCTGTGGTCTTCCACATGTTCTCCTTCAGGATTTCCAGGTTCTCGACTCCCTGTGTCACCCCAAAGGTGGTTCCGTTACTGAAAGAGATATCTAAAAAGTAAGAAAATGAATACTGCAAATGGTCCTTGTCCTTAGGGCAATTTATGACAGCCAACCTCTGGCCCTAGTACTCCTGGATAATATAAGGCCTGGGTTCCAGTTCTCTGAAGAACATCAAACATTTTCTTTCATTCATGGGTTTTGTAGAGTCCATCCATCATTCGAGTCATTCTACTGTGTTGTCTTCTAAACCATCAGCAACCAGTGCATCTCAGGGGCTTAAGGTCAAGTCCAGCAACAGCCCCATCATCTTGCCAACTCCCCAGAACACCCCCAAGGAGGCCCGCCAGGCCCATTCAGGTATGCAACAGCCAGTGGGGCAGGAGCTTCATCTCCCTCTCTCAGCTCTCTGCTTGGTTTTCCTTCAGAGATAAGGGTGGAAACTGTTAGAAGCCTAAATCCATTACATCCTAGATACATCAGGAGGCCATTCTCATTCACCATCTCTGTCTGATTTCTAAAAATTGGAAAACAAGCAATCTGCAACAAGCTTTGATCTGTGAACTGGTTTTGATCAATAGTTGACTAATCCTTTTTAATAAGCATCTTCATTTCTTTCTCTGACTCATGCTGGGGAATAGGAGCAAACATTTTTATAGAATTACAATAGCCAAAGAACAGAAAGAAACTCACATTTATTAATCCCACTCATGCCACCACCTCTTTCCATAGGTGATGCAGCTAACATCATAGCTAAATGCTGCTTCTTTTACATTACCATCAGTGGATTTATGAATGGATCGGTAGTCTATGATATGGACATGGTGCATATCCCGGAGACAATGAGAGGGGAACATTCACTTTCATGTCTCAGCATAGTTGTCAGTGGTTTTGTTGATCACTTCAGAGACGGCAGAGAAAAGCCAGTCCCCACTTCCTGCCTTCCTCTATGGCTGGCTACCTTCATGTAGTGTGTCAGGAGGTCTGATTCCTCAAAATCATAGTCCTAGTTTATGCCACCTTCATTCATCCCAAGAGCAGTTCAACACCAGTCTTAAGGAAGAGGGGTTATGTATCCTCTCTCTACCTGAGCCTGGACCCTGTGGTTTTGGGTCTGAGCACACAGCACCTGGAACAAGAGCTTATAAAGGATGGCTTACTCACAGAAATTGTGTCTAAATGCTTTCAGCTCAAACAGAGCCTGAGGTCAGGGGTTTGAACATCACAGTGCCTTCCTAAAAGATGTCTGGGCTACGTCTCTAGGCAGCATGGGTGTCTACAGTATCACTCTGATGCAGTATCAGCATCAGACCAATGGTGTATTGATGTAGTCATGGGACCAATGATGTATTATAGATATAGTCATGTCTTCTACATAAGACTCCTCTGCAGGATGGTATTGATTTCTGCCCTGCTCCCCACTGGAAAAAAAGAAATAGGTTAAAACATTAGGTTGTCATAGTGTTTCTAAAGGTTTGGTGGCACATGAACTACATGGATCACTGGGGGAAAAGCTTTTTTTTTAATTAAGCTTCCAGGTCCTACTCAGAGAATTTATCATTCTACTACTAAGCACTAAGGCAGTCTGTATATACTGAGTTGGTGGTGCACACCTTTAACCCAGCACTTGAGGCTAGTCCATGCTGCATAGTGAGATCCTATCAAGGCACACACACACACACACACACATACACACACACACACACACACACACACACACACACACACACACACACACAGGTGTGTGTCACAATGAAGCCCATTCTCCTATACAGTTAATATAAGCTAATAAAAATATTAAATAGCTTTCTCAGAGGTTTGCAAGCCACTATCTCAGCCACAGTACCATGGCTGTTTCTCATCATGTGAATGAACACATTGCTTTGGATTTCTGAAGTTTGCTCCCTCCAGAGTCCCAGTGTACCTACTAGTAATACCTGGTCTAGCCTGCCCTCTTCAGGATGATCCTAACACAGCAACAAAGGGAGTTGTGGATGAGTAGATGTCTTCTCAGAGAGAAGGGCTGGTACAGGCTAGGACCAGCATCCCTGAGCCTTTAAGGAAATAAGCACAGCCATCCTGGTGGAGTAGGGGTGAGTCATGCCATCTTGCTCTGTAGCCAATCGCCTCCATGCTGAGCAGAGGATATTTATGCAGGCGAACCTGGCAAAGGGATAAGGAGGAGAGACCCGCAAGACAGCAAGTTATTCTTAGGAATAACATTCAGCCTGTTGTTGGTTTAGCCTGTACCACATTAGGTGCTGGCCACGTGACAGGCCCACATCTGATCAGGGAATGATCTGCCTCCTCTGTTTTTTCTCTTACTGTCTCTCTAATGATGTCTCCTTTCTCCCTAACTCTTTATTTCTAGGCTTTCATTTTCACTCCATACCCAAGCCAGCTAGCCTTTCCCAGGCACCAATGCACTCAACTCCACCCAGCTTCCTGCATTTCAGGCCCTCTGGCCCTCCCCTTCTTGGTTGCTGTGAGACACCGGTGGTGTCCTTGGCTGAGGCTCAACAGGAGCTGCAGATGCTGCAGAAGCAGCTGGGAGAAAGTGAGCTCTGCTGCCTTGGTGTGCTTACACGTGGCGGGCTGACATGCTGCTGCTCTGCATGGCTTTGGCTTGATGGGGGTGGCGAGAAAGCTAGGCACACGTCACAGGTGGCAGATAGAGAGCAGGCTTGCTTGCTTCTTGTCTGAAACATGTCTGCTGCTGTCTCTGGGCTGTGCCCCATAGGCTACAGGAGGGATTCAGAGACTTTGAACCTGGTGTTCACAGACTGTCAACAGAGTTAGGCTCACTGTGCATCCCTGGCAATCTGGCAAATGCTTTATGGCAGGCAGGATAAAGAAGGTATCCTTTGCCCTTGCAGGATAACACAACTGTTAAAAACATGGCCACATGCATGGACTGCTTTGTGGGCTCGCTATGCCTCTTGTTGCAGACTGCCCGTAGTGAAGCTGCGTACCTGACCTCTTCAGCTTGGGATGCAAAGGTTGATGTCAACATTCAGAGGCAGAGCAGGGTAGAGCCCCCTTTCTTATTGTTCAAGGTTCATTCTGCCTCCAGACCAGAAACAGGATGTGTAGATGGATAGAACTATAACCACAGGCTGTGACAAACAACTGTTGTGAATTCTGTCCCCTGGCCCCATAGAAAAGGATCCGATGTGTGCATGCACTGGGTACTTCATCAAGAGGTTTTATGCATGCAATCACTTTAGGTGTAGGAAAAAAAAAAAGCACTACTTTGTGGTAATGATTTCTAAAGACAATTAGAAAGGGTTTGAGAATTACACCTAGAGTATTTACTGACCACAGATCATAGCCAAGAGTTTCTATCTGCAAAGGCCCTGAGGGCCTTTTGGGGAGGGGTCAACCCCCAAAATGGATAGTTTGTCTCATGTGCACCCAGCTTAATTTACAGAATCCACTGGACCGTGACTTCAGGAGAGTTTGCTGACTCTGTAGGCTATGAAATCTAAGGGAATACATGTTCTATTATTAGCTTTCTCCAGAACATCAGTATAGGGCTTACCCAACATACCCATGGCCTTGTCAGAACCTCCCAAGAGTTCTGTGTAGTGGATGAGGTTAGAGCAGGCAGCTAAGACTCAAGGTAACTGCCCACTGGGAGAGGTGGGCTTGGAGCCTGTCTTCTGCTCCTGGTGTGTGGTCCTCCCATACCTTTGTACTAGGGTACAGATGCCCTGCTGCTTGAGCTATGGGTTGAACCCAGTGGCAACACTTTGATGATTTTTTTTACAGCTATTCTCTTTAGAGACCAGCAGATGGGCTAGTACTTAAGACCTAAAACTGTTCCACCAACAGTTCTGACACCAACAAATATGCCCCATGTCAGAATGGTGTGACATTCTTTGGCTTCCATTTCCTTCCCTCTATCCTTCTCCTTTATCTTTTCATGATTGTCAACAGATGGTTATGAAAGGAAAAAAACAGAAAGAGAAACCTGTGCATTAAATGTGTTTGTCTTTGCCTATTTGTGTCTATTAAAGCAAAATTCTATGGTATCTCGGGTGTGTGTGTGTGTGTGTGTGTGTGTGTGTGTGTGTGTGTGTGTGTGTACATTTCCTCAGGTGATTTTAGCATGTAGCCCAATTTGAGAACCAAGTATAACTGAGGATAAAAATTGGTCAGTGGCCATTGTACTAGTCCCTGCTCAGAGTCTGAATGGATTGGGGGAAATGAAAGACTCATTCCTGTTTGCTTAGAGGGAGCTACCTGTCTGCTTTGTCCATGTTGATAATCATTGGAAGAAACCAACTTTCCACATGGTCTCAATTATGGCCCTGTGCTTCTCTTTGCACCCCCTTCCTATTCTGGGCTTTAAAAACTGGAAGCAGAAATCTAAACTCTGTGTAGAGACCCTCCTTTCAGACACTCCCTACATAGGTCACAGGCTACATAAGACATCACCTGAACTCTTGCCTCTGATTAAGGGGCTCAAGGAGAAGCCTTTGGTTTCACAGAGTCTCTAAAAGCATCACCCTAGGAGAGAAGAAGTCCCACCACCCTCCTTGGAACATGTTTGATGATTCTTTAAGTTTGTCAAATCTTGTGTGTGGGGGGGGTGGGGGTCCAGATCACAACTTTCCTTACAGGGTTTTCCCAACCCAAGCCAAGAGTTCTGGGAACACCTAACTAGATTTTATACCCCATCTCCCTGAGGGAGGCATGGAAAGATTGTAGTGGTTAGATTGGGGGGGGATGGGAAATCCAGGCAAACAGATACTCCCATTTGTGGGTGTGGCCATCACATTCTTCACCCCTTCCTTTGGGATGACTCCTACTTCCAAAACTTTCCTGGATTCTATCATGAGGAATAACAGTAGGACAGAGAAGTGGAGCCCCCCCCCCCCCAGCTTTTCCTCTGTGTACCTGGGCGTCTTTCAGATCCTTCATTAGCCTTGGGCTCTTGGTGTCTCATGCTACAAAATGCAGAGGGTGAAAGTTGGGCTTGAGGTTTTGAGTCTTCGTCTAACTGATAGCCTGTGATGAACTGGGGTACTGACATTCCCCCATGTCCACCACTAGTCTCCCTTCTCAGTGATCTCATTGTCCTTACTGGTTCTTGGCTTCTGATACTGTTCCTTTCTCACTTGTGTTTCTTTCTGACCAGGTGTTAGCACGGCTCCTCCTGCCTCCACAGCTGCGCTGCTGAGCAGCCATGCAGAAGTTAACTCTCCCCGGTACCTCAACCCCACTCAGCCCCACTCTCCTACAAGGGGCATCATGGAGCTGGGCAGAATCCCGGAGCCTGGATACCTGGGTAGCAGTGGCCACTGGGACATGATGAGGCCTCAGAAAGGGAGCAACTCTGGGGACCTGTCCTCAGGCTCCTCACTGTACCAGCTTAACTCCAAACCCACAGGTAACCCACAGAACTGGGACTTTCTTCTTGGGGAATGTGTAGATGGGATACAACTTCTGCATCTCTCAAATATGTCCTGTGTACAGAACTCAGTCACCCCAAGTGGAGGTGTATAAGGAGGCAAATAGCATGATGTAGCTTAGTTCTAACAGTAAGGAACTGAATTTCCAGGAGACAGTCTGAAGTGAAAGGGTCCACTTGGAACCCGAGGGTACCTCTTCTCCTGGGTCCTTCTGGGTCCTATATCTATAGGGGACTCCTTATTCCTGACCTACTAAGAGTGATAAAGGGAAACATCAAGCATCAGCCCCTAGCTACAGTGGGTAGACATGTGGTTTTCACTTTACGCCTTCTTTAGGTCGGAAAGGATGGATTTTGCTAAAAAACTATCAAGTCAAATATCAATAAGAATAAAGGGACTGGACAAAAGGCAGTAAGACTTTCTCTGTCACTCCCCAAAACCACACCCAAGAGGTGGACATGCCTTGCCAGGTGGTAGTTGGGCTCAGAGCTGTCAGTTATTTCTAAGGGATATGTAGCTCCCTTTCCCTGTAGATGGAAACCCGTGTAGCAAGGGCATGCCCTGTGCTCGCAGAGCTCCCTTCTCCTTAAGCAAAGTTGCCTGTGTGAAAGAACACAGTGAGCAGAAGGAAGGTGACATTAGGGTCAGCCTGAGTGTGCACTGGCAGAGCCCACCCAACCTAGCAACCAGCCTTCTATCTGCCTTGTCTTGGGACGGCTGCAGGAGCCGACCTGTTGGAAGAGCATCTCAGTGAGATCCGGAGCCTGCGCCAGCGCCTGGAGGAGTCCATCTGTGTCAATGACAGGCTTCGGGAGCAGCTGCAGCACAGGCTCAGCTCCACTGGCCGGGAAAGCGGTAGGCAAGGCCCAGCCTCTGTCTTGACTGAAGAGTCAGTCCCTAGGCAGAGCCTCACAGTTTCCTAAGCACTCTGATACTCTTTACCTCACTTGATTGTCACAGTACTGTTGGATGCATCTGAGCTCAGAGGCCGACCTTCCTCAGGCAAAGACCTGGCCTCTTGTCCTTAATCTTTTATGTAGCTGGCGGGTTCTCCGTGTCCTTGTGGTTGGTGAGCACTAGAACCAGGTTTATGAAGACCCACCCCACCCGCTTAGGAGGCCATTAGTCCCCACCTCTGCCCACCCCCATGTTGTCATTCGAAGGTCACCCTTCATACAAGCAATTGGCCCTTCCACACAGCAGCCTCGGCTGGTTAGAGAGAAAGGCCTCCTGCACAATCATAGCGCCTGCTTGTGCTAGATGCAAACAGAGATTGCATGCTCTGACAACAAACACATAGCACCCAGCTCAGCAGTGTACTGGAGTTAATCCCAGGCCTTGAGGGCCAGAGATTTCTGCTGGGTCAGGACAGCAGATCTCTGAGGGAATGGAAAAGCATCTGTTACATGGGACGTATGTGTGTCTTCTGGGACAGGCTCCACCTCTCACTTCTACAGTCAGGGCCTGGAGTCTGTGCCTCAGCTCTACAATGAGAACAGAGCCCTAAGGGAAGAAAACCAAAGCCTGCAGGCTCAGCTCAATCATGCTTCCAGAGGTAGGTTGTGCAAAATCACAAACTACAGTTCCTCCTAGGTCTGTTTCTACCCTGCCCATGACAATTGCCAGCCAATTGGAAAAGCAAAAAGCAAAAAGCAAACAACTACCCAAATTTACCAATCCAAGATTTGCATTGCTAATCAGTCCCTAGAACAGTGGTTCTCAACCCCTGGGTCTTGATCCCTTTGGGGGTGGAACTAGCCTTTCACAGGGGTCACCTGAGACCATCAGGAAATACAGATTTTTACATTATGCTTCATAAGAGTAGCAAAATTACAGTTATGAAGTAACAACAAAAATCATTCTATGGTTGGGGTCACCACAACATGAGGAACTTTATTAAAGGGTCACAGCATTAGGAAGGTTGAGAACCACTGCTCTCAGTAATCACAACCCTGGCCTTCAGGTTGCTAGGTTTCAGAACTGAATGACTCTAGGAAGCCCATCCCTTCTGAAATCCCATCCACTTCGATCCAGCTGGCTACCTATGTAGCTGTCATGTCAGTTTGGAATCTGCTCCCTTCTACCTGCTCACAGTAACTGGAATCCACGACAGCAGGAAACATACGCGTCTATATTTTCTCATATATCTCCAGACAAGAACAGCTTTAGGCAGCTGGCTGGGTCCTGTTGTGCCATTCCTCTCCCATCCCACTACATCTGTCACTCAGGCTGCTCTCTGGAGGTCTGCCTATGGTTCCATGACCTCTCCTGTCTCACTACATCTGTCACTCAGGCTGCTCTGTGGACTCTCTGTCACTCTGGAGGTCTGCCTATGGTTCCATGTACTCTAGACCTTTCCCACCCCTACTTAAGGGTCTTTTATAAGTGGGCATCATTTCCCATCTGGCCTGGGTGACAAATTACTTTAGTATAAATTGACTTGATTAAATCAATGTATGACTAGTAACATTATTTTTATTTACAAATATCTATTGAATAGCTATTAAAAGACTGAGAGCAATATATGAAAGGATTAAGTCCAGAATGAAGGAATCCTTGTGGAGGCAAAGGCAAAAAGAGATATTTCTAAGGTAGCTACTACAGAACGAGAAGACTTGAGAGGCAAGGCCCCTGCTGGGGAAGGATAACTAAGGCTGATGGATGAGGGCGAGGCAGAGAAATTAATCTACCAGTGCATTCTGGGAGGGAGAGCAGCCTCACTGGTGAGAAATAGTAAGACATTCAAATGCAGACACTTGTACCCAAGCACTAGTCTCATAGAAGAGTCCCCATCTTCAAGGGATTTTGATCAGAGAGATGTCACATGGCCAGAAAACACCAAATGTTCCAATTTTCAAAATGATGACAAGAATATATTCTAAAAATCATAAACAAGAAATCAGTGCTGGTCTTTGATAAGACTGAAGGTGGACAGTTGAGCGACTGCCTGTGAGCACCTAGGAAACACTGAGCTTTAGGAACACCCTGCTTTCCCTCAGAGCAAGGGCAGGGATGCTTAAACAGAGGGTCAGATACCACAAAGAAACAAACCCACACCTCTCAGTATGTGGGGTCCCCTAAGCCAGACTGCTCACCCACGCATGACCTTCCTTCCCCTGGCCTCATGTATGTTTGGGGTTTGACTTTCTACTAAGGTTTAGGCCATGATGTAAATACCCCTGTGTCCTGCTCACCAGGACACTCCCAGGAAATGGACCGCCTGCAGGAGGCTCTGCTCTCCTCTCAATCCCAGCTTCAAGAGCTGGAGAAGGAGCTGGAGCAGCAGAAGGCTGAGCGGCAGCAGCTGCTGGAAGACTTAAAGGAGAAGCAGGAAGAGATCTTGCATTTCCGGGAGGAGAGGCTATCCCTCCAGGAAAAGGACTCCAGGTAGGCGGGGCCTTGATAAGGAACACCTTAATTTCAGTGCAGAAGTGATATTGACAAAACAGTAGTTGCCTCCTTTGGAAAACTCAGTCTCTCCACTGCTATTCCTGCCACACTGGTAACATTCAAAAGGCAGACTCCACTTTGGGCAAAAAGAAAAAAAGAATAGCTTTTGGTACTATCAAGTAAAGAGATGAAGCCCTGTTACAAAGGTTTCCGTATATCGGTGACTGACAGGAGAGCATTCCCATGTTTCCCATTAGATACAGGACATCACTTTCTCCATAAGCTGCTAGTTGCTATGCCGGTAGAAGCCCTGTATCTGTCTGCCTGTCAACATGGAGAACACTATAGGGCCACTGAGGGGCCTATGACATTGTTTGTACTGCCACTAGCAAATGGAACTAATGCTGGTACTTCAGGCTAATTTACTTTACCTGCCCCAGACTCTGCTGAGTGAAACTGATGGCCAGCCCACCCCAGGAGTTGACACCTGGGGCTAAGATTCCACAGACAAAGGTTGGCTCCCAGCTCATTTGCCCTGTGTGTCTCAGTGAACCCCTGCCTCTCCTTGACAGGCTGCAGCACAAACTGGCCTTCCTGCAACAGCAGTGTGAAGAAAAACAGCAGCTTTCCCTATCCCTGCAGTCAGAGCTCCAGATCTACGAGTCACTCTGTGGAAATCCGAAGACTGGCCTGAAAGGTATGAGGACTCTCTGCCCCTTCTCTGTCAAGCCCAGGGTTGAGGCACTGTTGACACAGCAGATCAAGCCTGGGTACCCTTAAGGACAGACCACAAGAATCATACTTCACCCACTTAACAAAAACAGTTTAATCAAGGGCAAGATTATAGCATGGTTTTATTTCAATAAAGAAATGTCCTAGGTAGGGCTGTCACCATGTGAAAAGATTTTAAATGTGCTAAAGGATAGCCATGGTAGCCTGGGCAATGGGCATCTACACTCCTCCCTTTCCCACATGGAGAAACGGACTCAAAACCAAAAGAAAAAAAAATACCTAATGAAATACCACTAATAGGTGCTACATTTCAAGTGTAGGTTTAAATATTAGGTATTTATTGAGCAGTTTTTCCATCTGCTGAAATAAAAGTCTAGTATTTGAGAATCTTAGTATATTTCTCTACGCAAATGGGGAAGGGTATGAGTTACATGATGCTAATGAATCATAGAAGGTTATAATAGGGCTGACATGTAATATGATCAAATGTCAAATGGAGAAAGGCATAATGAGTTACAATATGTTAATTAGTTACAACAGGTTATAACAGGGCTGATGTCAGCTAATATGATCAGCAAAGTCAAATCACAAGCTCGAAGAAAAGTGTCAGTGGTAGATGCATGTTCCCCACACCCTCTGTTGTTGTTGTTGTTGTTGTTGTTGTTGTTGTTTTTTCCAAGACAGGGTTTCTCTGTGTAGCTCTGGCTGTCCAGGAACTAGCTCTGTAGACCAGGCTGTCCTTGAACTCAGAAGTCACAGAGATTCACCTGCTGCTGCATCCCAAGTGCTGGGATTAAAGGCGCGTGCCACCACCACCACCTGGACTGAATTTCTTAAAGCTGGATCTAGTGTGTTAATTTGCTGAAGAGAAACTGAATTAAAACTTGAAGTATAGGAGCTCCCCAGGCTGTGAATGAGTGGCTAATATACAGAGCCTCGGGGAGGGGGGGGGCGGCAGTGGGCCAGTCTGCCTGGGGGGAGCCCCTTGCCTCGGGGGAGCCCCTTGGTGCTGGAGGAGTGAGAAATCAGGTTGGTGGAAAGGGCAGCTGCTGGCACACAGGAAGCCCAAAAATCAAGACCAGAGCTTACTTTCAAGGAAGACGGCTCCATGCTGAAAAAAGAGTTTTAAGATGCAAAGTCTGGAGCCAGGCGGTGGCGGCACACGCCTTTAATCCCAGCACTCAGGAGGCAGAGGCAGGCAGATCTCTGTGAGTTCGAGACCAGCCTGGTCTACAAGAGCTAGTTCCAGGACAGCCTCCAAAGCCACAGAGAAACCCTGTCTAGAAAAAAACAAACAAACAAAAACAAAACAAAACAAAACAAAACAAAAAAGAAAGAAAAGGAAAAGAAAAGAAAAGAAAAGAAAAGAAAAGAAAAAAGATGCAAAGTCTGGTGGGACATACTAGGGTTAGAAGACCTTAATCTGGGGAGCATCCTGGATGAATGTAGAGATTTTTCTAGATTAGGAGACAAAGTGTGATTGGAGAGTTAAAGGAGAGCAATAGCCATGCTAATATGGAAGGGAGCAAGCTCATGAGGCCTCAGCCCTGAACAGAGAGCCACAGGCAGCTAGGGAATGATGAAAGAGGGAGGAATAGTCTTCCCCAGGGAAGAGCACACCAGTTAGCTATCCAACATCAAATGGGCAACTCTGAAAAGGTATGTGTCTAAGTACAAGTAACATTGTGGGACCTAGCAGTGTGTGTGCGTGCGTGCGTGCGTGCGTGTGTGTGTGTGTGTGTGTGTGTGTGTGTGTGTGTGTGTGTGTGTGTGTAACAACAATTAGGCTATGAACTGGAGGGGGTGGGTTACATGAGAGGGATTGAAAGGAAGAAAGGGAAGGGGATAAATGATATAATCTCAAAACTAAAAGTTATAATAAAGAGATACATTGCTATTGGGAAGATAAAGGGCAATGGGTGATTTTTTTTTTTTTAAAGAAAGCAAAAGTTAGTGAGAATTTGGAACTCGGGAAAGAGAAAGTATAATGGACTTTATTTCTGAAGCCACATCCTCCACATCCGCCCCCCCCAACACACACACCATGTGTGTGTACCCTCTCATGCTGTTCTCTTGGAGCATGGGTGTTGTGGGCTCATTTCAAATCTACTGCCACTAATGCTCCATAAGTCTTTATTTTGAATGCCAAAATCCAGCAAGGTAGCTCAATTTCAGGCTTTTTCCATGTATTCATTTGATGACAAAACATACACAAAGTGACAGGATGGTGTTCAGTGTTTATTTACTTGGCCATTCACATAGCTCATTGCAGCAATAATTATGTGACGGTTAGATGTAGCAGAGCAGGGAGTGGAAGGCATATATATATATATATATATATGTATTCAGAAATACCAAATTCTGGGCTGTTTATTAGCTCCCTTTATTCTTGCATGTAGAAATCCATGTGGTAAGTGGAGATGAGAAACATTCCTAAGTTGGAAATTCACTTAGGGATTATGAGTCCAAGTCTAAGGTACCTACCTTCCCATCTCCTATTGTCAGGATGCCCACGTGTTCCTGCTTTCCCTCCTCTTCTCCCTCTGACTTCAGTCTTCTCCAGTTCAGTGCTCCCCTGCTTCAGTGTAACCTGAAGGACAAATTTTAACATGGGGACACAGTCTGCTTATTCTCACCTGCCAGTCCAAATGCCCTGTCGGTGAACTTGACTACTGTAACCCTCGGAGGAATTCCAGACTAGTAACAGGCCACCTTGCTGTACTCCTGGTGCAATGTGAGAATGGTTGTGCCTCCCAGATGTGTGGCCAAACCCCTGAGACTCCAGTGGGACCTTAGGCTGAAAGGAATGTCATGGAGCATTATGTGGAAATACATGGTCAATGGCACTATGTTCCCCCTCTTTCTTCTTCAGCTTTTAGCCTAGATTCCTGCCACCAAGTCCCCAGTGAGTTAAGCTACCTGGTGGCTGAGATACGAGCTCTGAGAGGGCAGTTGGAGCAGAGCATTCAAGGGAACAACTGTCTGCGGCGGCAGCTGGAACAGCAGTTGGACTGTGGTGCTGGCAAAGCCAATCTCAACCCCTCCTCTGTTGGCCAGAACTTCTCAGCCAGTGTGGAGCCTGCAAGCACACAGCCACTCTTCCAAGGTAGGGAAGAGGAGGGAAGCAGGGCCCTCCCTCTGCCAGTGGAGATGTCTATGGCACAAGCGACTGTCTTGCTGAACTGCTCTGCCAGGTCAGGCAGGGACTGGAGATGCTTTGACATGGCCTCCTGGGTGACAACCTGGGATTCAGGATCAGGCCTGTCTCCAGATTCCAAGTTTGCTACTTACAAGTTATCTGCTTTGGGCAAAGTATTTAAACTCTCAAATGTTTAACCCTTAATTTACTCTACTTGAACATGGGACCGATAAATATAGCATGCATGGTTATCTGTAGCATTAAATAATTGTCAAGGGTCTGGAACAATAAGGATTGATTCCTCATATTCCTCATATTTATGTGGTGCTTTAGAACTTACCAGGTGTCCCCAAACATTGAGTTTCATTGAGATGGTGCAGCATTTCTCCATCTCTGTATTTCCCATGAGAAAATGGAGCCCTAGACCTTTACTAGACAAGCAAGGGTCACTAGGGCTAGGAGTCAGGATCAGGAGCCTGGGGAGGAGTCAGGATTAGGAGCATAGGGAGGAGTGACAATCAGGAGTCTGGGAGGGGGTGGTAAGAATCAGGAGCCTGAGGAGGAGGAGTCAGGGTCAGGACAGGTAACTGGACTTTGCTGCATGAACAATCAGGATGATAACCAGACGATGAATCAAAGTCTTTGGGAATCTATTCATTCTTTGCTAAACTTTAGTGCCAGGGCAAGTGCTCTGCTACTGAGTCTTTTTCTCTGCCCTATCCCAGCATCTTAACATCCATACTATGTACATTTATGCACAATTATATTTCATTTGAGGCATTGTACTAGATACATGCAAAATTATATCCCAAATTAGGCTTATAAGATATCTACCAATATTTTCTCCTAGAAATGACATTCTTCCGAAACATGCCCTCAGCAGATAAGTGTACACAAAGTGCTTTGCTGACTCTCTTTGTTGTGGGCTACGGGTGCTGGTTCCCTGAGGTCTGTCTCAAGCTATGCATGTGCCACACAGCTCAGTGTGCGGCATGTTGGCAGACCTGACTTGGCAGCTGTTTTGCTCCCTAGGTTCAGCCACTTCCCCTCCAGTCCGGGATGTTGGCTTGAATTCTCCAGCCATGGTCTTCCCCAGTTCTTCTTGCTCTGTTCCTGGCTCAGACCCAGCCATCATCACCAGGACAAATGGTAAATATAGCAATGAAAAGACTCAGATGGTGATGGAAAATTACTGATGCAAACAACCCTTGGTTGGCTCTCTGTATGTGCAGTACCTGTGTCTACAGATCTTTCTCGGTCTCTTGCCTATGCACGGTCTTCTGCCTTTCTTGTTCTTCTTCCTATACTTTCCCTGCTGCTCTGGTTTTTCTTTCTCATTCTGTCATTGCTTTGTTCTTGAGTGGGGCTCCTCTGTATTCAGCTGTTTTACTTCCAGGTTATCCTTTACCGAGAAACTTTCTCAGTAATAGTATTTATCCTGCATATTTCTCCAGTTGAAAAGTGTCATAGTATTTTCATGTGTGTGTAATAATGTTCCCAGAGAAAAGCAATGTAAGTGAGAAAGGTGTGCTTCTGGCTCACAGTTGCACGCTACACTCCATCTTGGTAAGGAAGTCGCAGGTACTCAAGGGAGCTGGTCACACACATAGCATCTGGCACAGGATCAGAGAGCAGTGAACACATGTATGCTAATGCTGAGCACACCTTCTCCACTTCATCCACCTCAGGATACCCCGTCTAGGGAATGGTTCCCACCCACAATTACGATGTGTCTTCCCACATAAGTTAATGCAGTGAAAATGATTTACCACAGGCATGCCCAGAGACCCACCTCAGGCAATTGTCTGTTGACAATTAACCACAACACAGTAAGATGTGTCTAACAAAGTGACATGAGAATAATTACAAACATGCAGAACATAGACTGCTCTGTGGACTCTGTATTTTTGAAGGCTGACTTGCTTCTTGCCTCTTAACTTGTCCCTTTGGAGTAGAGTGAACTGAAATTGTTATGATGTATAACAATGGTTCCTACTTTGTTTCTTTGCCAGAGCTGGGTTCAGATGATTCTACAATGATGACGAACCCTCCCAAGCTGGAGGGTGATGCTACTGATGGCTCCTTTGCCAACAAGCGTGGCCGACATGTCATCGGCCATATTGATGACTACAGTGCACTACAACAGCAGATTGGGGAAGGCAAGCTGCTGGTCCAAAAGATACTGTCTCTCTCGAGGCTAGCATGCAACATCCCTGGACCTGAAGCTCAGGGCACAGAGGTAAGAACATGAAGCTCTTGGGGACTGTCTTCTTCTGACTTTATCTTCTTTGCATAGTTCCCACTTCTCTGATTTACATCCCCCAGCCTTTTCTGTCTCCCATTTTCACTCTGCTACAGATCATGCTGACTCGATCCTTTGACTGAGAACCCTGGAAAACCCCATGTTTTATAGCGGAGCACTTGTGAAATGTTGATTACCATGTCACTATGTTCAGCATCTTTGGTAGCTTATCTGTAATAGGAATGCTGGCATGAAGCCATGTCTAACTAGATTAAAGTCAACCTGGTGGACTGGCATTCACATGAACCTGCACATACGGAAGGGAAGTAAAGCTGATAATGCAAGGTTCCCTGCAGACTAAGCAGAGAAGGGGAGGCAGCCGGTGAAACTCTTTAGTGAGCTTAGTAGTCAAGAGGGGCAGGCACAAGTGACAATGTTGTTTGAGAAATGGCCACTCATGGGTGTTTGCATAGGACAGCCTTGGTCTATAAGGACCCACTACTGAAGAGCAAGATAGAGTCGCTTGTTGATATGCACAATAAGGTGCCACAGACACACGTGAGGAGCTTCCCTCCAAGATTGCACTACAGACAAGGAAGGTACAGTTTCGTAGAGGATGTAATACAAGAATGAGGTTTGAAGGCTGGTAGGACATCCTGGGAGAAGGGTTCCAGGCAAAGGGACCAGCTTTCCTGGAAATGTAAGGAAAAGCCAAGGTTTCCACCAGGTCTGTGTCTTGTGCTTGTTCACATAGGAAGCTTGAGCTCTGTGATTGGAGAAATGGGATGCCCCAGTGATGGGGGTACCTGCCCTCTTTCTCCAGGTACCAGGTAACAAAAGCATCCGTGAGCTGCGGAGCAGCACCAGTGCCCTGAACCACACCCTGGAAGAGTCGGCATCTCTCCTCACCATGTTCTGGAGAGCAGCCTTGCCAAGCCAGCATGGGCCAGGACTGGTAGGCAAAGCGGTAAGAGGCTGGGTCTTTGGCTGGTTAAAACCTGCCTTTTCCATGCCAATATGGCCCTACTCCCAACTCCTCCAGCTTTCTTGATGGTCAAGGGTTATATGGCAGTTGGGATGGACAGGCTCTTCATGGAACATCGTGGAGGAAGACCTCTGAGCCAACGTGGCTGCCTTGCTGCAGCTCTAACACATTCTTTTCTCACCTTCCAACTCTTGATAAGACATCCAAGAGAAGGAAAGAATATAGGAAGTAGACATAATCAGCCTGGACACCCAGATTATGTCCAGTCTTGTACCCTGAAGTTTGGCCAAGCTTATCAAGAAACCTATTGACAATATGGCATTCTTCCTCCACCCCTAAGGTCCACCTGATCAAAAGATCATAGAATGTCACCATGAACATGAGAGCCTCTTATAGCCATGCTCTGTTGGTATCTCCGGCTCAAGCCTGGGAAAGCCAGCCACCTCCTGAAATCTGCTTGTCTCTCCAGCTATGGTTGGCAGACCCTTAGAGGTGTTCCAGCTGCAACTAACTGTTACTGATGTCTGTGGACCCAGTTACGCTAATTCAAGGTGTTTTCACATCTCCACAGTGGCAGATATTTCCAACTGTCCCACTGTCCTCTTCAGATATGACATCCCTGAACTCCTAAGTGTCACTAGACATAAGGAGTTCAGGAAATTCTACAGGACCAAACAGAGCTCTTGCTTGTGGTTGGGATTTTGTGCTGGCCTAGAGCAAGGCTCTCCCCAGCAGGCTTTGGTTTCTCCATGTCTCTCTTGTGGCCTGGTCCTCAGCTGTCTCCAGCTGGGATTTGAAAGTTTTGTTTGTTTGGTTTTTTGATAAAGGGTTTCTCTGCATATTTCTGTCTGTCCTGGAACTAGCTCTGTAGACCAGGCTGGCCTTAAACTCAGAGATCCACCTGCCTCTACATCTCAAATTCTGGAATTAAAGGTTCATGCCACCACTGCCCAGCTAAGATTTGAGAAGTTTTAAAGGAGAGAATTCAATACAAAATGTAGACAAGATGGATAGTATTCTGCTAGACCGTTAAGAGCTGCAAAGCACAGCATGTGTTTGGCCTTGTGAGTGTTGTCTGAGTCTATCCCTCTTCCTCAGGGACAGCTGATAGAGAAAGAAATCCTGGACCTGCGAGCCCAAGTGTCCCAGCAGGAACAGCTCCTACAGAAAACTAATGAACGTCTGAAGACAGCCAAGCAGAAGAAGAAGAACATGGAACAGTACATTGTGAACCACCGTAGGTGTCCCTGAGGGGCACATGGGAGCAGAGATGAGTAGTGACCAGAGGGACTTGAGAATGTTGAGGGAAGACACTGAGTAATGGTGGGTACAGAGGGAGGGGGTATGGCTAGCAATAGACTACACATTGAGTGAGAGAGAGAGTGTCTTAGGGCGCATATGCCAAGCAAGCCAGACTTAGCTGGTAATTTCCACATTGTGGGCTGTTTTATGTTTCCAGTGACCAGGACCCATGATGTCTTGAAGAAAGCACGGACTAATTTAGAGGTAAGGGCAACACAGCCACACTCAGCCACAGAGCCTGCCCTCAACCCACCACTGTCTGTCATCTGCGGGGCCCCTGGCTAGCTCTGACATCCTAAGAGGTTTCTGGTCCAGTGTAGGCCATGGCTCCTCAGCAAAGCCCACCCTACCTCACTCCCTGACCTCTCTGCTTGCCCTCATTGTGTTTTCATCTCTCCCTTTCACTGTAGATTTCACTGTAGCTGTGTGTGTGTGTGGGGGGGGGGTGAATAGGCTGGGGAAACAGAGCACAGGTGGCTCTTGAGGGCAGAGATATTTGAGTCCAACTATGAGGCCATTTGTGCACACTGGAGTTTCCTAAAAGCAGACAGAACCTTACAAATTGACCCCGCTGCCATTGCTGTGAGGTTGGGAGTATCCTTCTCTTTAAAGATCCCAGATGATCTTTGAGTCTCACTGATCTAGAAGGAAACGTGAAAATCAACACTGCCCCTAAGGGGGAAGACTCTCTCTCCCTGGCAGGTATTCTCCACAGTTACCTCAAATGCTAAGTGCTGGTCCTTTCCTGGGAAGCAGTGTGAGGGGAAACTTGGTATATGGGTTAAAGATCAGAAACGATTCTATGAACATAGACTCGACACTACCAGAGCCTCTGAGCAGATGCCCAGACAGCTCCTCATTGCATCTGCCTCAGTACAGGTGCAGAGGCCAGCATGGAAGGGGGTTGGGTCCTGATGTCGCTCACTCTTTTGTCTTGGTCTAATTCCTGCTCTCTGATGACTCCTTTCTTTCCCGAGCCCCTGTAGCACAGCTCTTACAAGATTGCCTCTGTGCAGCCATATTCCTGTCCCAGCAAAGGTAACCCAGCGGCCTCCAGCACCGCTGGCCCAGCCTGTGGACGCTTGCCTCTCCAGTTCCTAGGCCCCTAGGGAGGGCCTGTCACTAACTGGCTGTGTGGCTTTGGCTGGCCCCTTTATCTCTGAGCCTGCTGCCCCAAGTCTGTTATGGTAGAACCTGTCTTACATTATCTCCGAGGCCCTGATAACTACACCCCTCTCTGATAACTGGGACATGCATTTACCAGGGGGATTTCCTGCTGAATGTCCCCCCTTCTACAGAGGGCTTTCTGTGAGTGCTCATCTCCTGCTCAGCACTTCTTTTCTTGAGAGATACAAAAGGCCTTTTTGTTTTCTGTTCATTTGTTTGGTTCAGACCACTTGATTTGGAGCATGAACTGACTCCTGAAGGGAGAGTGATGGGGTCTGGCCACTCAGTGTCCAGTGGTGTAAGCAGGAAGAATCTGGGAGTGTGAAAGGCTTCCATCTAATCTGGGCTTTGGGAGCTTCTCCAGGCCAGCACTCCCCACCCCCGTGCTTGCCCTCCTAACCAGCTCTCAGACTCCTGGCTTCCAGCACATTTGCCTCTCATTCCAGCCTCCAGCAGGGTCTAATCACTCACTCTGACTAGATTTGTTTCCCTTTTGTCTGCAGGTGAAATCCTTAAGGGCCCGGCCACGCACCTCAGCCTTGTGACCCTTGCCTTCCAGGAGCCCCACAAGAAGCGAAGCCAGAAGCCCTTAAAACAGCAGGAAGGGTGGGCCTGCCCCTCTCTTGTGCAGCTGCCTATCTGCTGAGGAATACCTGGTTCCACTCCACCCCTGCTGGAGGTCCAGAAAAGGGCTCAGAGATGTGTCCACATGGGACAGGCAGGAAGGAGAGTGGCATCCTGGCAGCAGTGAATATGATTAGCTAAGGCCCACTGGGCCGGCACTAAGCAAAGCTGATGTAGACTGCACAGAAGGCCTTGTGGCCCTGCTTCTAAACAGCTTCAGTGGCATGGCACCCACCTCGTCACAGTTCTTGCCTCAGCATCTGTCCTCAAGACGGCCAACTCAGGGGAACTAGGACCTGGCTGCCCACAAATAGGATGTGTGGTTCCAACACCAAAGCTCCTCAGACAGTTGTAAAAGCACACTACTGAGCGGCAGTGCCCTGCTGGACAGTGTTGGGGTTCAGCAAGCTCCCCTCACAAACCCACTCTTGACCCAGGCCAGCCCTATGGGCCAAACCAGGTAGTACTTTGGTCTATACTACCACACTGGAGTTCTTTGAGTCTACACAGCAAACATGGTGACTTCTGGGTGCCCCATGCTTAGCCTATCACCTTCTGTTTCTTATATGATCTCAAGTTAAACTGGCTCCCTTAAATGTGCTGTCCCCCTATAATTCTAACTTCCCTCAGGGGGACTGGGGGCTGATGGCCACATCATACCTATTGAATGTCTAGCATAGAGCACACCTGTACCTCTTTTAATGGCATAGGCGAGGCTTGTTCTGTACTGAAGACTGTGTGTCTTCACAGTGCTCATATGATGTGGGTGTGTGTATAAATGTATAATATAGATAAATATGTTGCCATGGCCATGTGTTAAAGGCCATACTGTGCAGACAGGTGGGTGAGAGGATGCTACACAGTCTTTCTGATGGCTATTAAAGCAAACTGTGTATAAACAAGTTGTTCTCCTTAGCTTCTTGCTTCTGTACCAGTTCCTAGAATAAGGATATAAGAGTATGAAAGATGTAAACTGCCATCTGGCATCTCCATGTGTGTGTGCCTTTTCAGCTGGTCTCCCTGAGGCCCCCTGAGTTCAAACCCTAGTTTCCCACGAGGACCCATTTCCACTCCGACAAGATGAAAGAAACAATCATGAAGCAGGAAAAACTCGCCAAACTGCAGGCACAAGTGCACTTTGGCGGGAAAGGAACCACTTGCAGAAAGGTGGTGGTTCCCAGAACAGCCCAGCAGATGATAAAAAAAAAAAAAAAAAAAAAAAAAGTTCTCCTTAAAGAGCCTTTAACAGCCATAAAAGCTGAGGCTTCAATGGCAGCTCACACCTTCACCATCACAGCTCACACCTACACGATCACAGCTCACACCTGCACCTTCACAGCTCACACCTGCACCATCACAGCTCACACCTTCACCTTCACAGCTCACACCTTCACCATCACAGCTCACACCTTCACCTTCACAGCTCACACCTTCACCATCACAGCTCACACCTTCACCTTCACTATCACAGCTCACACTTTCACCTTCACAGCTCACACCTTCACCATCACAGCTCACACCTTCCCCTTCACTATCACAGCTCACACTTCCACCTTCACAGCTCACGCCTTCACCTTCACAACTCACACGTTCACCTTCACCATCACTGCTCACACCTTCACCTTCCCAGCTCACACCTTCACCTTCCCAGCTCACACCTTCACCTTCCCAGCTCACACCTTCACCTTCCCAGCTCACACCTTCACCTTCACTATCACAGCTCACACCTTCACCTTCACCATCACAGCTCACACCTTCACTGTCACAGGCCACACACGCACTGAGACAAAGCAGTGACAGGTATGTTTCCTGCATCCTACACCAGCTTGGGGCAGACAGTCTGACTAGAGGAAGTAGACTGGTGAGTCTCTGCCAGTCTGAGGATGGGAAGCACCATTTGCTGCTGGAGAGGATGGTGATGATGAAGTCCCAGATCTGGTGAGGAATTTTCATGAGCTCCTAAGAGCCAGGCAAACTGAATTGAGACAACTTCTGAAGAAGGTGACACGTGCAGAAGTCAGGGGAGCTGCTTTTTTATATCATGACTGCCTTTTAAAATTCTTTTGTTTATGGATCTGATAAAATCTAGAGTTCTGATATTTTTAAACCCAAGCCTCCCTGGATACTGCAGCTATTTTCAGCTTTTGCTTATACACGGCTAATTATTTACAGCAAATTAAGCTGAAGAAGCCTGGAAATAAAATTTGGAAGGGGGTTAATAAAATTCTTTGCCTAGTTAGACAAAATATGAAAGATAAGCTGTCATTAGAAACTCAGAAGCAGAGCTGGAGAGATTGCTCAGTGGCTAAGAATACATGCTGCTCTTGCAGAGGACCCAGGGTCAGTTCCCAGCGTCCATAGCACACGATCTACAACCCCTATAACTCCAACTCCAGGGGGATCATGGCCTCACTGGGAAGTGGCAAAGGAGAGGAGGTAGGGCCTAGTTGGAGAAAGTGGGCCACTGGGGGCAGTTCCTTGTAGGCATTGGATCCCCTGGAGCTGGCACTGCAGATGGTTATCAGCCATCATGTGGGTGCTGGAAACTGAACCTGGATCCTCTGCAAGAGCAGCAAGTTCTCTTAACTGCTGAGCCATCTCTCTGCAGGCTCCTGCACTCATGTGTCCATGCCCACCACAACTACATACTTTTAAAACTAAACAAAACATCAGAGGCTTCTGTAATGTGAGCCTATAAGTTGAAGATATCTTTATTCAGATAAATACCAGCCAAACACAAGCCAGAGCGTGCAAGGAGCAGCAAAGCAAGGAGGCCAGAGTGAAGGGGTCCCCATGTGCTCATTGCCGCTTAAGAGCCTAGGTGGTCAAGGTAAGGTCAGGATGACATGTGTGGTCAGGCACACCTGTAGCCAGCCCTTAGGAGGCATGGTTATGGTGTCTCCCTACAGGCTTCAGTTTCACAGAATGAATGAGTTCTAGAGATCCAAAGGACAGCACTGCAACTGTAGTTAACGTTTTTCACACTAAAAATATGCAGACATTAGGTCAAAGTGTTGTCACCAAACACACACATGCACACACATACATGCACGCACACACACACACACACAGACACACACACACACACACACACCACACACTTGTGTACACGTGTGTGTGCTTGCTACTGATAATGTAGACACACTGGGCTAGAAGATGGCATTGGAGTCCCTGCAATCAGCAGGCTTCCTTGATACTTTTCCTGAAACCTCAGCTGCTCTAACTTTCTTGCATAAACCCTTCCCCAGTCATTCACCTTGGCAAACTAGTCCCTGATCACTTATTGTTACCTGTAACTCAGAAACTCATCATCAGCATCAGCATCAACACACAGAATCATCATCCAATAAGACCCTTCCATCAGCAATGTCAACACAATGAATCATCATCCAATAAGACCCTTCCATCATCAATGTCAACACACGTAATCATCATCCAATATGACCCTTCCATCATCAATGTCAACACACAGAATCATCATCCAATAAGACCCTTCCATCATCAATGTCAACACACATAATCATCATCCAATATGACACTTCCATCGTCAATGTCAACACACGGAATCATCATCCAATATGTGTTACAATAAATCCTTCCACCAAAGCTGCCTGAGCCCTACAGCCACGTGGGCGGTCTCTGCCAGCTGCCTGAGTTCTGCCCGCCATGTGGATGGACAAAATAATACAGATTTATATTAGGTACAAATGCTGCTTGGCCAATGACTAGGATTTCTCATCTGCTAGCTCAGTATAAATTATCATAAATCTATATATTTTATAAGACTTATCTTATCGGACTCCTTCCATTGGCGCCCTCCCTTGCCAGTGGATCACATCACGATATTGGAGGATGCAAAGGGGAAAAAAAAAAGGGTAGACTTCCTGTTTTTCCTTGCTTAAATATGGGTCACCTTGCTATGTCACTTCCTGCCTGGATCACCACTTCTCTACTACATTTCCCAGAATCCTCTTTGACTCCTAGTCCTGCCTAACTTGCTGCTTCAAATATGACCCTTCCATCATCAATGTAAACACACGGAATCATCATCCAATATAACCCTTCCTCCACACATGCTCTCACATTGCATACATCTTGTTTTCAAGCTTAGGTAGGCCACTGCCTTGAAATGAGCCAAGTGGAACCACTTGATGACTATCTGGCTACTATTTAATCAGAGGAAAATTGTGCTATCTGTTAAGCCATCTAGCATATCCAATATCCTACCCCAACCCACCATCAGCTTCCACTACCTCCAGTCCCTAAGCCAACCCACTGTGAGTGGCCTTCTCTCCCTTAAAGTGCACTCGTGGGTAGTCCCTATCTGAATGCTACAGCTTCTGAACAATGCATGTAGTAGCCGTTGTAGAGATAGGGAAGAAGACGAAGGAAGGAATCAGCTTCCTGCCCACAATACAGTCAGCGTGCGGAAATCTGGAAAACTTCTATTCTTAGACTTGATTCAATCCAATTAGCTTCCCACGTCAGTCTTCTTCCTATGAGGCCACTGCCTGCTGTCCAGATGCCGAGCCACATCAGGTGGGAAGGTGAGCGTCGGGATACTCTAGCCTCTACCCAGGGTCTTTCTCCTCCCCTCCTCTTCCTCAGTCAGGCCTGGTCTCTGAAGGCTCCAGATGCAGTGTAGACAGGATAGCAGGTCAAAGGTCGATTGCTCCGTGGAGTGTCAGATGAGCTGAGCACCTGGAGGCAGCTTGGCGTAAGGAAAGCCTGTGGCCACTTCACCCAACTGAGCTTTAGGGTAGGATAATCAGCCACCCCGTGCCCCTGTCACTTGCTCTTGGAGGCCCTAATTGAAGGCTGTCAGGGTCACCTCAATTGAGGAGGTCCTGTAAATGTGACCAAGGAAGAAGGCCTCTCTCCCTTCCCTTAACTGCCTTAACTGGGTCAGCTATCATGCCTGAACTTCAGTTGGAAAATTGAATTCCCTAAGGTAGGACAGAAAGAAAAATACATAATTAAAACCCAGTAAATAAAAGGTTATTAGAACATTGACATATATGCTATGAGACTTTCTCCTGAATTCTTGAAAAGTAAGTTCTTGGCACTGTACAATAATTTTGAATGCTAATTATACCAGATGGGGTTGGGGGGCATCCTGGAGACCTGTGAATTCCAAGTGTTCTTGTACTTTACAGTTTCTTTTTCCCCTTGAATACTATCCAACATTAGTCAGGGTTCTCTAGAGGAACAGAACCTATAGAATGAATACATATACACACATACACAAGTTATTAGTTCCACTTACTTTAAAATAGTAACTACAGCTGTCTCTCTCACCTGAGGGACTGAGAACAGGTAGCTCACATGTGAGGGACTGAGAACCTGTAACTGAGGATGGGTGCTATCTTAAGGTTTCTTTCTGTTTTTCTTTTTCCTTTTTTTTTTTTTTTTTTTTTTTTTTTTTTTTTGGTTTTTCAAGACAGGGTTTCTCTGTGGCTTTGGAGGCTGTCCTGGAACTAGCTCTTATAGACCAGGCTGGTCTCGAACTCACAGAGATCTGCCTGCCTCTGCCTCCCAAATGCTGGGATTAAATGCATGCACCACCACCGCCCGGCAATCTTAAGGTTTCTATTGCTGTGAAGAGATACCATGACCACGGCAACTCTTATAAAGGAAAAACATTTAACTGGGGCTGGCTTACAGAGGGTTAATCTGTTACTGTCATGGTGGCAAGCAGGGCAGCACAGAGGCAGACAAAGTGATGCAGAGGTAGCTGATGGTTTAATCCTGATCTAAGGATGAAAGAGTGAGCCACTAGGCCTGGCTTCAGCTTCTGAAACCTCAAAGCCCTCCCCCACTGACACACTTCCTCCAACAAGGCCGCACCTCCTAATAGTGCCACCCCCTTTGAACCTATGGGTGCCATTTTCCTTCAACCACCTACAGGTGCCTCAGAGTCCTAATCTGGTACCAAAACTTGAAGGGTTCCTGGGGAGCAGTTGGTCCTTGGTCCATGAAGGAAGTCTAGAAATGCTAGTTCTGATACCAGGAAGGTATCAGCAGCTGCAGCAATGTGGCAAAGCAACTTGGTCACAAGAGAGAAGGCCAGTTGCACAAAGGGCAGATGGCATTCCTTCTGCCGTACTCTTTCTGATCTGGGCTGCTACCAGAAGGCATGCCCATGCTTGGGAGGGATCTTCCTATATAACTAAGGCAACCATGCTAGTTCTTCAGTTGAGGATTCCTACGCAGGTGATCCTAGCTAATGGTGAGTTGACTTTAAAGCCATCACACCTGCACTGTGTCTACCCACCTTCCTGACTGTGAAATCCCTAAGGTATAATCAGTATGTATTTTTGAGTTCCTACTGTATGTAAGACAGCAGGTGGACCATGCTGGAAGGCAATGGCCTGATTGGGTGGGTTGAAATCAGTTGAGTCAACCGTCTATGTTTAGCCCTGTAATCATGCATGAGAGGCAGGCAGGAAGAGAGTGAGGCTGGGAACCATTGCTTCACTTCCTTGGCTTCCATGTTCCCCTGATTTTTACGAGATGAGGACTCAGCAGGAAATGTCTGACTTCAGTTGCTGCATTTGCCTGAGTTATGACTACAACAGACATGGCTGTGGTCACGGAGTGTATATGCCAACATGAAATGATAAGGACTTGATTAACCAGACTTGAAAGCTAGCCTCTCCCATCCCATCCATCTTTCAATTCCATGGGGATCATCAACGTCTGTTACATCATTTGAGGCAGGATCTAGACCCTCTCCCATGTATCTAGGCTGAAAGAGTATCCCTCCATAGGGAATGGACTCCCAAAGTTCACTTGTGCACTAGGGATAAATACTGGTTCCACTGGCATAGACCCCATAGACTGCCCAGGTCACCCATGTTCAGGGGGCCTGGTTCAGTCTTATGCTGGTTTCCCAACTGTCAGTCTGGGGGCTGTGAGTCTGTTCCTATTTTCATTGCAGACATTTAAAATCACTTAATCCTTTATAACTAATAAACTAACTCACAAAACAAAAAAAACAAATGAGTCTTTAAAAAAAATCAAGGTCATGTCATTCTTGGCTGCACAGTGACGCTAGAGTCAGACTGGACTTCATGAGAGGGAAAAGGAAGGAAAGAAAGAGAGGAGCCTGAAGGCAAGAAAGTGGCCTCTCACTGGGCAGTGGTGGCGCTCACCTTTAATCCCAGCACTCGGGAGGCAGAGGCAGGCTGATCTCTGTGAGTTTAAGGCCAGCCTGGTCTGCAGAGTGAGTTCTAGGATAGCCAGGGCTACACAGAGAAACCCTGTTTCTCCAGGACAGAACCATACATTTCCTCAGAAAACCTCATCCACACCTGATGTGGGTGGTTTTGATGAAATCAAAAACTTCTGAGACGGTGCTGTAAAAACCACCTACTTTGAACCGATGCTATGATTAGAAGGAACTAGAGAACCTGAGAGGAGAATATGCATTGTGTGTTCTTTGCACTGTGGTGAGACCTGGGCCTGGCACCTAACAACACCCAGGAAGTGTTCCATGAAGAGGTCCTGGGGGATCAAAAATGTCACTAAGTCAACTAAAGAAATGGCTCAGTCACTAAGACTGTTTGCTGCTCTTGCCGAAGATCAGAGTTCGGTTCCCAGTATACAAGTGAGATGCCTTGTTGCATGAAAAATAAAAGTCCCAGGAAGAGACACTGGCGTTCAAACTTCAAGCTGAATATTAGAAAAGCAAAGTAGATGGCCACTAGCTCTTACCACTGCCTCAGTGGTAATGAGGCTGATCCTGCTGCCTCTTAGCGTGGCTAGAGAATCCTGAGATTGAATGCTCCCCCCCCCCTCCGTGACTGGAGAATGAATGCCTGACACTGACTACCGAAGACCCTGCCCCACGTTTTATATCCCTCTAGTGCTGGGATTAAAGGTGTGTGATCCCAGGTCCTGAGATCATCTTTTGTGTGAGCTGTTTCTCTTTAGGACTGGATCAATCTTGTGTAGATCTGGGTGGCCTTGGACTCACAGAGATCCATCTCCCTCTTAATCCTGAGTCCTAGGCTTAAAGGTGTGTGCCACCACCTCCTAGCTTCTGGCTACTGGGATTAAAAGTGTACATTACCACTGCCTGATCTCTATAGATTGAGGATGACTTTGCTTTCTGAATCTTCAGGCAAGCTTTAATAAATCATAAATAATATATCACTGCAGTGGCTCACAGTTGCCTGTAACTCCGTCACCAGAGGATCTGACACCTTCTTACGCACAAATAAAAATAATAATTAAATATTAAAATAGCAGATTCCCACTTAGTCCTTCTGAGTGTTAATCCAAAAGAGTGCCAGAATTGGAGAGTCTGAATCTCAAAAGTGTGTATTCTTTAAAACCTTCCTACTGGTGGTTGAACCAAATTTCCCTGGAAAATTTAGAGGGTGCCATCTGAAATGGGATTGCATTTTCCACCTAGGATGGTGTCGGATGAGGGTGGGGGCAGCGTGAAGCATGTGGAAGAGTGGTTCCAGAGTGAGAAGGGAGCTAAAGGAAAAGAGGAGGGCAAGAGGACTGAGAGGATGGGGAGGGGCCAGGGTAGGGCTGCATAGAGTACTGTTCTCTCCTTAGGTCCAATGCTCTGCTCCCGACCACCACTCTGGAGGTCGTCCATAGCATGCCAAGGTCACAGTGTGATATGTAGGAGCTGTGGCTTCCACTGCCCTGTCATTTTCATTCTTGGGTTTGGCAGCTCTCAACTCTGTGAGCAGCTCTTGGCTCATCCCATCATGGGGATTCGGCATTCAGAGTCTCCCAGAGGCCCCGGGAGACAGCAACGTGGAGGCTGCAGGCACCAAAAGGTGGGAAAGAGACCATAGCTGGCTGAGAACCTATACCGCCTATACCTTAGTCTCTAATTAGGGCGACCCTCGCTTTTCTTTGGATATACCCGCCCGGGGGGGGCGGCCTCACTGAGGACCTGGCCTAGTGAAGCTGCATTTTGTGAGCTGTCTCCAACAGTCCGCCAGGGGGCGCCCATACCCTTGTCCCGGGGACTCTGCAGGGAAGGTTGTGAAAATTTCTTAAACTTGGAGAGTAGATTTCGCCTTTCACAGCAGGATCTTGCCTGTTTGAGGCTCACCCAAAAGTTCGGGACAAGAGAAAGTCGTTCCTTCTCATCGTCTCAGACTGTAGCCCATCCTACGTTGAACCTCTCTCCTTCTCCCCATCCTCCCTTCTCTTGGAAAAAGAGAAGTGTGTAGGAGCACAGGCGATGGAGAACTGAACCAAGCTGTGGAGAATGTGACAAGGAAAAGGCAGAAAGGAAACCAAGTGGAAGTAGAGATAAAAGACCCGAAAAAGCAGGAGGGGAGGAAGGAAAGTAGCATGGAAGGGAAGACCCGGATGCAGCAAAGTCCAAATTCTGCTCTAAACAATATCAACTGCCTAAAACGCCCTTCTTTGTGTCCGGTCCCAAAAAAAGGATTTGATCTCATTCGGGGATTTAGGTACAAACCTAAAGAACAGGCAGAGAGGACGTTTGCGGGGGCGACTACTCCTGTGAGTCTATCTCGCTTGGATCCAGTCTGGCAAGTTTAAGCGCTTGAGGAGGAAACTCTTGGAGGCCAAGCATGGATTCACTTACCTACAGCCAACTGAAAACAAGCTGGGCATGGTGTAATGGTGTGCACTCTAGACTGGGGATCTGGCGATCAGAGTTCAAATCTTAGTGTGACATTTTCTTTTAGGGAAACCAAAGCTGCTGTCTTATTGGGAAGCCGGCCAGGAGTGGCTTTGAAGGCAAGCCCGCTGTGCTTCCCCTCCGAGCCCGGTGGTTCAGGAGGCAGGGAAATTTCCGAGTCAGGAGCTGCAGTGATTCCAGGGTCCTTGTTGCTCCTCTCTACCATTTGTGACCCAAAAATGTATCCCTCAGGAGTCCAGATCCCAGTAATGCGGTTCTCAGTTCCATGGAGTCTATTGAGGACGTTGCTGGCCAGTACATCTTTGCAGCATGTGTGTGTGTGTGTGTGTGTGTGTGTGTGTGTGTGTGTGTGTGTGTGCGCGTGTGTATTATATTATACATTATATAGGTGAACTGCATATACTGTTTAAGCTTGTTGAAAGCACACCTTGGGAGTGAAGAGGGCTCTCTTGATCCAGCCTCCAGAGTGATTATTTCCTGTCCTGCGATGGCTAGCTACCTCATTTTGGAAATTACCTAGATGTGATTGTCCTGTGGACATGTCTGTGGGTCATTGTCTTGATTGTTAATTGATGTAGGAGGACCCAGCCCACCGTGGGCAGTTCTGCCCCTAGGCAAGTGTGCTTGGGCCGAATAAGAAAGCTGAACCAAACCAAGCCCGAGAGCAAGCCAGAAACAGCTTTCCTACGTGGTTCCTACCTTGAGTTCATGTCTTGGTTTTTCTCAATGATGGAACAAACCCTTTCCTCCCCAAGTTGACTGTGGTAAGAATGTTATATCCCAGCAACAGAAAAGCAGACTAGAACACCCCCAAGATGTCTGTCCTGGAGCAGGCTGCTCCCCTCACCCCCTCAGATTCCAGTAGCTGACTTGGGGGATGGGGTGTTTACCCAGTGTCAGAATTTGGTAAAGCTCAGGGTGCAGTCACTGTCCACCGAGCCACTATGGATAGGACTCCACTGGTAGCTAGAGGAGCCAATGAGAATGAAACTAAGTGCTGAGCATTAGTTTCATTAGTGCAGGAGTTACCACCTTGAGAGAGGAAACCCTGGTACTAAGACAGTGGTTCTCAGCCTTCCTAATGCTGCGACCCTTTACTACACAGCTCCTCATACTGTGGTGATCCCGGCCATTAGATTATTTCATTGCTACTCCATAACTGTAATTTTGCTACTGTAATGAATTATAACGTAAATATTTGTGTTTTCCGATGGTTTTAGGCGACCCCTGTGAAAGAGTCATTGGACCCCAAAGGGGTCACGACCCCATAGGTTGAGAAGCACTGGTCTAAGAGGTTAAGGAACCAGAGAAGTTTACTTTCTGGAGACACACTGATCCACTTATGAGGGGCTGAAGCCCTTTACTCGCAGGAGACCTGTCCGTTTACACGCTCCAGGGTACCTGGAGTAGGGGACTCAGCCAGTTCCGGCCCTCTTAGCCATGGAGTTGGGACCTTTTTGCCTCCCTTGCTTCTCTCAGCCACCTCTGCTGGGCCCTCCCTTTTCTTTTCGGATCCCAGGCTGAACTCTCTAAAACAACAGTTATCCTTTTCAGTACTTCGTAACTACCCAAAATTCCAACCACAGGAAAACAATTTATTTAAAAATTTTCAGGCAAGTACGTAGAAAGGCCCATTTAATCCCTCTTCTAACATTTCCATTATCTTTTCCAGGAGTTTTCCTGGCACAGAATTCTGGCAGAAGAAAACTGAAGTGATTTCCGACTCGAGGCCCGGGGAGGAGCCACCTGGGGCACTGAAATCCAGGCTCAGCTCTTTCTGTATAAATTAAGGATTTAAAGAAATTCTCCCCAACCAGACGCAGTGGAAGACAACTGCGGCCTCTGCTGGTTTCAATAGAAACTCGAGTTCAACGAATTGCAATGTGCTGAAATTGCTCAGACCGAAGACCAAGCCAAGAAGGGCTAGCTCGCGCTTAAATTCCTTTAAATTCCTTTCATCCGGTGCAGAAGAGGATGCCGCGGGGGTGCGAGCAGCAAGGACGCGGTTCGCAGCCTTGCCAACCCCAGCTCACCCTACCAACCCTACCAACCCCAGCTCACCGGAGGACAGGGAGGGACCCGCGAGTCCTGAGCGAGGAAGGTGGCCAAGGATGGCATGCCCTATTGCGGTGTCGGGGAAGCTATGCAGTAGACTCGTGTCTCTGAGCCGAGAGCTGGGACACATCTGCGGCTTGCAATGGCCTAGTGTAGGAGGGTTGCCGGGACCTTTCCCTCCTGTGCAAGGTCAGGGGTGTGAACGGGAAAGAAAATGGATCCTACTGTGGACTAAAGAGAAAGGTCCCACCGAGATTTGAACTCGGATCGCTGGATTCAGAGTCCAGAGTGCTCACCATTACACCATGGAACCACACAATTGGTAGCACTCTGACTCACTATAGGTGACCAAATCCATTCTCAGCCCCAATCATATCCCACAGTTTCTTCCGCAGGCACTTTTCCTATAGTCAGGTAGGATCAGAGCACCCTCAATTCACAACCAGGAGAATCGCCCGCGCTCAACGTTCGTTCTGTTCAGTACTTGGCGTGAGGAGTACAGTGGGAGAGAGACATGTCTCTCAGAGAATGAGAAAGTGGATTTAACACTTTAGAATCCGGGAAGTGAACGCCGGCTCTTCCTAGATTGCTGGTGTCTTGTTCTAACATACAATCCTTCCCCGCCCCTCCCCCGCCCCCGGAAAAAGGTTTCCTTATTTTGCTTTGCAGTTTTCTTCCTGTTGTCCAGATCCGCATCCCCTAGTTTCTCCTCCAGCCCCTCCCTCTTTTCCGCTCCCCCACTCTTTGTCTCTCTCTTTCCTGCTCCCACTTTCGTCTCCCATGCTCAGCCCAGGTCATAAGATCACGGAGAAGTTGCAGAAAGCAAGGTGAGGGAACGTTCACCCAGGCGAGGAGCATCATTGCTTCTTGGGTCAGAACGCCGCCGCCGTGGGAGTCTTTCCAAGACACAGAGCAAAACGCCCCGGGCAGCCCTCGGGACCGGGCGGCATTGGCCTTAGGTGAGGCTGAGTACTGGGCAAATCCAGAGCTGGGGACTCTGTGACACTTCCCGGAATCGCTGAGACCTGAGAAAATGCTGGGGCACAGTGAACCTTTCCTGCAGGGTTCCTGAGAGAAACTGGTGGCAGTTCCTCTCAACGCCCTTCGTGGCTACCTCAGCGCCGTTTACAGAGAGGAGCCAGCGGGGCCTGCGATGGGGAGAATTCTGGGTGACACCTTAAAATGAAAAGTTTAGCAAACTATGGCTGAGTTCGATGGACGAGGGAGATATGTATTTCCTTCAGGCAGCAAGTGGCAGCAAGTGGCAGCTGAGACAGCACCTACATCTTCCTATCCAGAATGTGGGTTGTTCCCCACATCTAGGGCCTGAGGTCACCGGAAGATGCACTGTGTCACAGAGGGCTGCAGCTAGAGCCTCTTCCCTCGCCTGTCCATGTGCCTTCTGCTGTGAAGATCCTGCCTTGGCTCAGGCTAAAAGCAATGGCGCAGCCAACCATGGGCAGGAACCTCTGAGTTCACAAGACCGAATAAACCTTTCCATGCTCAAGTTGTTTCTCTCTCTCTCTCTCTCTCTCTCTCTCTCTCTCTCTCTCTCTCTCTCTCTCTCTCTCTCTCTCTAAGAAAAGAAGAAACAATAGGGAATCACAAATGAACCACAGTTGCAGTTTTTATATAGTCAACAGTGATTGTTACCTTTGGGGGAAGTGAGTGCAGAGGGGTGGAATTCAATTTTTGTCAAAGTATTCTTTTATTATATGAATTAACTTAAGAGAAAAATAGGTAGATTCATGTGTTGTGTTTACAAAGAGGAAGGAAGAAAGTAAGAAGAAATGAAAGATGGCTCAGCTGTTTCCATATATGGAAGAATTTAATTTAACCTGGGGAAAAAAGAGTTTCTCCAAGGAGAGAACCCTGAGAACATGACAGAACCCCAGGAAAACACTAGGAACAAAGCTCCAATGTCACAGGGCCAGCTGGAGCAGGAAAGATAGTTTAATTAGGTGGCTAAAGAGTTTCCATAGGAAATCCTGCCTTCTTCTACTTGCCTCTCAAAACCACCATCTTCTTGCAGTTGAGAAATGGGGCTTGAGTTAATGATTTCATGATTGAACCTGTTATCCCACATTTAAGAATGACACCCCCCAACACACACACACACATACACACACACACACACACACACACACGATTCAGGACCCTTGAGGAAGGGAGGCAGAAGGATCATAAGAGCCAGTGGTCAGGGAGAACCAGACCAAAAGTGTCTTCTGGATATGGCAGGACCCATGAACTCACAGCAGCTGTGTTGGCCACACAAGATCAAGGCAGGTGACATTCTAGAATAGAATGGGAAGGCCTTGTGTCCCCCCACCTTTATGTGAGAAGCCATCAGCAGTTGACAGCTTCTGGAGAGCAGTTTTAAGGGTATGACCCTGGGGGGGGCACGTCTACCACATTCTTGTGGATGGTCCAACACTCAGGAGTATACGGGTAGCACAAATTAGACTCCATGGGATTAAAAAGAAAAAGAGGACAAGTTGGGAAAGGGTAGAGAGCTGGGGATGGATCTGGGAGCACTGGGGATGAATATAATCAAAATATATCACACTCATATATGAAATTCCATAGAATAAAAACATTACTTTTAAAAGTGATTGAGAGATGGAGAGGTAGCTCAGTTGGTAAAGTGTTATTGCACTAGACTGAAGACCTGAGTTTGGATCTCTGGCATCCAGGCGTGTTCCCTCCCAGTGTTTCTAGCACCGGGGACACAAAGACAAGAGGACTACTGGGGCTTGTTGACCAGTTAGCTAGTCTTGTCCGTGAGTGAGCTCCAGGTTCACTGAGAGATCCTGTCTGAAAAATAAGGTGGAAAGCAATAGAGGGAAATATCTGACTGGCCTGGCAAGATGTTCACATTGGTGCAATAGTGGCACTGTTATCTTGGGGGTAACCAACAGCTGTCTAATTTGACGTGTGACCCACTCAACAGGAGGGTCTTCCTGTCTGGTACTGTAAACCTAGCCAGCTATTCATAACTGGAGAGGTCACTGACTAGGATTTCTAAACTAATATAATTTTTCAGTGTTCTCTAAATACCTGTCCATATACCCACAGGTAAGTGTAGCTTTCACGCACCCCTCATCAAACAAGTTTCTTTTTGCAAAAGATGGAGACAATTACAGAAATCTGCAACTGGTGAAAATTCAGAGTATAAGAGACTGTGGGGTGCCCAACAGAGAAAATGTATGCATAACTCTCCATATGGTTGCCTGAACAAGACTGACATAATGACCACACCAGTTATATGCTAACACAGACAAATTCCAATGGCCCAAACCATATATGAAAGGATACAGGTATCAGTGGCCTCTGAGAGAGGGAGAATCAGTCCCAGGCATGAGCTCCCACATAGGTTGTCTAATCCTTGTGGTCACCCTTAGTACATATATAGGAGCAAAGATAAATTGACTCAATAGTTATGTATATACTATGTATACACATGTGTGCATATATATGTGATATATATGTATCTATATCACAATAAAAGTAAGAAATCATGAATTGGGGGAGGGGCAGGGGTGGAGTTGGATGGGAGGTGGGAGTGATGTAGCAGTGTTCATGTGTGTAATCTAAACAAAAATAAAACCCCCAAATCCCACCTATGACAAAAAAAAACACAAATCACAGTATGTGATATTGGTATGAGCGGCCCTTAGATCAGCTGCCAGGATGATTAGAGCATTAAAAACAGTATCAGACAATAAACTAGGTACTGTCTCACCTTCCTTACACACACACACACACACACACACACACACACACACAATCACCTTAAAACTTCTAGTCTGTAGGTATATGCCTGGATGTATACATTTTGTACAAGGCTGAAAGACTTTAGAGGAACATCCTAGTGCTGTATCTGAGTTAAATGGTAGATGTGAAGCAACAAGCAATGCCTTTCAGGAAGGTATTTTTCTTACTTTCTTTTTGGTTTGGTTTTTCGAGACAGAGTTTCTGTGTGTAGCAGTTGCTGTCTAGGAACTCACTCTATAGACCAGGCTGGCCTCAAACTCAGAGAGATCCGCCTTCCTCTGCCTCCCGAGGGCTGGGATTAAGGGCGTGCACCACCACTGCCAAGAGAACATTTTCTAAATTCATGATTTTAATGCTTCAACTTGGTCCCAGTAGGTTTGGTGAGAAATAAACAACTAAGAAATGCCAGTAAAAATTAGCTATTACTAATGACCTTACACTCAAGTATTTACTGGAGTGAATTCTACTAATGGGGACTTTGGAGAGCACTAGGGACATGAAACCAACAGACAGGCCTACTCGTAGGGAGATCAGAAGATATTTAGGGGAGTTGGTTCTCTTCTTCTACCATGAGTTCTGAGGAATGGCCCTACTCAGGCTTACCCATCGAGTCATCAAACAGGCCCCTGTTGTTTTTAAATGGTAAAACCAATGAGCCCTGGCTCTCTACCCTCTCCCCCCACCCTCAGGTTCTGTAATACCTTGGCTTCTGACGACATAATCAGCAAATAACTCAGATATTATTGCTGTATAATGCTTTTATTAGACAGTTTTATGGAAAAAAAAACAAACCCACATTTTTGTGTTACATTATACAGTTTTTCAGGCATGTCACAGTCCAGTGTGAAATACTGAAATAGCTCTGCATGCCAGCATCAAAGGCCACAAACAGCACCGTTTAAGAGACTCAGGCATATGTAACTGTCTTCAAATTAAGTCAGCCCTGCTTCACAAGTGACAGAGTGTGAACAACCAACACCTGCCAATCAAATGTGTCTCAGATAGGCCACCACACAGAATTTAGGACAAAATTACCTAAAATGGTAAGCTGGGGAAGGTGCTGCACAGAGGAGAAGATGGTCAACACCTGATCCAACTCTTACTGTAGGTGTCCCTTGACTATGTAATCCCTAACATTTAGTATTTCACACCAATCTTAATGCAAAAGTGCTATACCACACACAGTTCATAAAAACTCCAACTGATGCTGGAACTAGTAAGTATTTTTACTGTTAATGAGACTTGCTCACTTCAGAGCAATAGTGAGAAACACAGCCCAGACCAAGTCCAGGTTAGACTCCAGTGGGAGCAGATCCTACAAGCAGCACACTTGAGATTTTTTTCTTCTTTCCTGTAATTGAAAAGATTTGTCTTTCTATCCCAAACACCAAGTTCACTGGAGAAGTTAGTCCTTTAGTCTCCAGCTGTGACTGTCACCTAAGGACTGACAAATGCCTAGACCACACTGTAGAGTTCTAAAAGAACCTTACTCCTCCCAGGTCTCCTGTTTGTGAATAACAGGAGTCTACAGCCCAACAGCAGACAGCAGAAACTTGGTTTTGAGGCTGAGTCATAATAGGAACAAAATACTTATCTGCTCTTATGCCCCAAAGCACAAGATGGCGAGGACAATGTATCTGAGAACAGAGTGAAACACACTCACTCACACACACAGCGACTATTGCATATTGTTTTGAGGTCAAACATTTAAAAGTCCCCCCCCCAATTTTATGTCACTTCACTTAAGCAGCATGCATGGAATACTGACACCTTTCAAAAGATAGTAAGATCCATTAGATCTACAAGAAATCAAAACCAACAGGAGTGGGTCAAGGTTCCTCTCAGAAACCCAGATTCTTCCTTTGTACTTCAGACTTACGAGGCTAGCTCTTGAAGCTAGCCTCTTAAGGGGTGTGCCCTTCAGGGGTGTCACCCTTCAGGGGTGTCGCCTACAGTGGCTAAATCCTACTCAAGTCTAGGTTGACAGGAAGCTAATGACCATACTGTGAAAGTTCTTCATACTGCTGAAGTCACAGACCAGTGTTTTAGGCAATAGCCGACCTGACACCCTGGTGAACTTGTCTTACTGATAAACAAAGTCAAGCGGAATGCAGAGAAAAGACAGAGAACAGGTAGAGGCTGAGAGAAGACATTTTACAGGCTGCTAAGTTTTCTGTACAATGAAATCCAAGGACCCAGGTTATGTCTGGCTTTAATTTTCTTCTTTTAAAGAGGGTATTTTCAGTTCCAAGCTACGTGACCCTTCAGTTTCCTGGTGCCACTTCTTAGCTCATTCATTCCTTCTATTCCCTCATAACCCTCATCTCTACCCCGGTGTTTAAGAGGCAGCCCTCCCTCCATAAGGGCTGTTTTTCTCTACCAACTTGACTGCAAAATTCCTATAGGTAAGGAAAAAAAGTAAATTTTAAAAAGACTAAAATGTTTTGTCTTATTTCCAGATTCTACCCACCTTTTTAGTGTAGAAAACAAACTGTCCCTTAAAGTAATCAATAGAAAAGCAGTAACCTCCTCTGCTTACTTCACCATTGTTTTCTGGTGACAGTGACAGAGCTCCCCAGGGCCAAGTACCATAAGGACAGAGGCAGTGCTGGAGTCACCAGCCAGCCCCCCTCACCCCACTCCTTCCACACCAGATAGAATTTCAAGTTTGGCTGGGATAACTTTAGAACTAGGGACTGTCATTCCAGATGAGAAAGATCTGAATGAAGGTCACCAGTACCCAAACCCTCTTGTCCCCACTGCCACACCTGATTCACAGAGTCTCAGCCGGAGAATGAAGACAGTTTCCCTACTCTTCTATTGCTACACCTGTGTGGAGTAAAAGTTTAATCGACGAACACACAGATGATTCCAGCTCATATGTTAGCAAGTGCAGATACAACAGAAGCCACTGTGTAACAATGAGACCCTAAATCCTCCTCCATGGCCCAACTTCTAAATGGGCACTGGGAAAACAAAACAAAACCCAACAGCCTTTCAGTAGAACTGAAGAGCCGCTAAGTTGGTTATGATAGGATTAGACCTTAGTTTCCAAAATGGCACGCTATCCAGAAATTCAATTGCACAATAAAGGTTCTCTACAAGAGAGGAGGGGAAAGTGGCTTGGGATGGCCGAAGCAGTACTCACCCCACCAATTACCTACCAAGGCATTCAACAAATCTGTATTCCCTGTGAAACATCCCCACACCTTCCTGCTTCACACTTGTGATCAGAGAGGTCTCAGGATCCCAAGAGGACGGTTGCGCCAATGTGGAAAGTCAGGAGGTAGCTAAAAACTGACCTGCAGGTCCCTCTCAATGTGGCTGGCTCATCTTAGCAGACATGAAGTGTCTCAACCATGAACGACACTAAATGCTTGGCTTGCATTTATCTGTAAAACGGAAGTGTCAAGATACTTGAAGAAAATATTTTCTTTGAATCCTGAGTGGGTTAAATACTATTCAGTCAGTGGTAACTAGTGACCCACTCCACAGTCAAACATTTAAAAGAAAGAGGCAAGAAAAAAAGCATCTTGTTAATACTTGGTGCAAAGAGCAAAACAGTGCGTGGTTATGAACACAGGGGTAGTTAAAGTTCCTCACCTTACACATCTTTAAGGGGGAATCTAGAATGTGCATCTATGAACTGCATGAACTCAGGTCTAAAGGAGAGGTTGGGTAATGAATGAGGTACACATGGCTGCCATAATAACCCAAGACTATAGGACTCCCTAGACTGGAGAAGAACCTCTTAAGAACCGCTGGTCAAAAGCCTGAGCATCTTTAATAGCTGTTAAAACTGATGGATTTTTTTTTAATTAAAGAAAAAAGGTAGGCATATAAAACTCTTTCAGGGATGAAAGATATGGAAGGCTCCCTAATTCTACATGACAAACTGTCTGCTCTGATGAAGAACAGCTGGAAACAGGGCCAAGCCTGGCGGAAGCCCGTTAGCATGTGCCATACAGTCAATCAATATACAGGGCCAAACTAAAACACAAAGATAGGCATTTCTCTTAATACTGAGCCACTGCTTTTGTTTAGACATCAAAACAAGTTGTAATAAAGTGTGTTGAGCCCGTGCTGGGCTAAAAAGGAGACCTCCAGTCTCCAAGGTGAGTCTAATCCCACACAACTTTTCAAGAGGGTTTCTCACCTTACTGGGTCATGTGTGAGATCTGAGGGAAACTATTAAACAGGGTACATAAAGTGAGGGTTCTTTGTGGGGCATCTAGTGTCATATAAAAACACGGTAGATTGTGTCACATACCATGAAACACAGAATCAATCCATGCAAGGAAAGCCACCCTCCAACGAGGCAGCTGGAGTAGGGCAGCAGCCTGGCACACTGCTGACCCTCTGACACCAGGGAACAGTGGCAGAACCTCTGCCTGACAAGGATCCTAGGAGTTTGCTATTCTTTCATTTTAGGAAAAGAAGCTTCTGTATACTCATTCCTGCAGCCGCAGCCTCCCTCTCAGGCCCTGGCAACTACCCACAGGCAGAGAACCTAGACAGCTGGGCTAGGAGGCTTCCAGTAACCTTCCCCTCATATGCATATATATGGTTTTGTTTTTCTTAAAATAAACTCCATGAACTCATAAAGCTCTCATCTGCAATCAAATGCAAAAGCAGAGCCCCCTACTCAGAGGCTCTGAAACACACAGATCAACCTCAACACAAATCAGCCTTCCAGCCTCAGAGGAGACCGGGTCAGTTCAAAGGCAAGGGAGACGCTTCTCCAGAATCCTTGGAGGCAAGGAGTGATGTCCTCTTCAAATGGGCTTATAGAGCAGCGTGGTGACATACTTCTTCTTGTAGCGATGGGTTGCACTAAGGACCATCACACTGTCCTGCAGGGGAGAAAAGCACATACAGCTAGTTCGTTAATTTGTGTGGCTGCTGGGTCTTACCAGCCATCAGTCTTCCACAGACACTCACTGTCTTGCTAAAATACTCCAATAAAAGCCATTTAATGGAGGGAAGGGTTACTTTGGCTCACAGCTCTGGGCTGTAGTCCATTATACCAGGGAAGCCAAGGCATCAGGAAGCTGAAGCAGTTGACACATTGCACATTTGTTAAGCATACTTTCTCCCACTTTATCCAGCCGAGGACACCCTGCCCAGGGAATGGTCTGCCCACAGTTAAGATGGGTCTTCCTATACCAATTAATGTATTCAATATAATTCCCCATAGGTATACTCAGACTCACACCTCAGGTTGTTGTAAATTTTTTCAACACAATTTTTCAACACTAACCAACACATTTACTTCTCAAGAGGCAGTCTGAAATAAAAGAGGCTGGCTTGGCTGTCAAATCTTACTCAGTTCCAGTCCAGTCTCCGGTTGTCGTGGTATCGGTTGGCAGCCTTGAGGAGTCTATATATGGTCTCTATGTCCCACCGCCCCCTTTAAAACTTCTTCATACAAAGGATAATAGCTACCCTTAAAGGGGTTCTGATTACAAGATCAGATGAAGTATCTGATACATAAAAGGCCATGAAGAAATACTATTTTACAGTTTTATCATTCCCCTTCTCATTTCAAATTACAATATTAGGCCTATGCCTAGCAAGGAAAAAAAGTGCTATCAACCATTCCCAGAACAAAATATTAAATGCAGTAAAAGGGAAATGATCCTTCTCAATGCTCATTCCTAAGGCCTGAAGCAGGTCCAATTGCCACTTAACGTCAAAGATGAACTGTGTGACTCAGAGAGCACTGTTGGAGTTCCTATCTAACCTTAAAAGTACAGCAGCTTCCTGAGACAGCCCATCTGACAGGTCAATTCCAAATGGCCAAACAAGCTGAGAACCCAAGTGGAGCTGAAGAGGCAGCCCCGTCCCTTGTATCACAGCCCCGTCCCTTGTATCACACAGGCACCAACTTTCAGGATGTATGAGAGCATGGTTTGCAACAGAAGAGATGACCAGGGACACCAACTGACAGCTACAGAGCAGTCACAGGAGGAAAAACTCAACCAGATCTCAAAGAACCCCAAAAGTCCAACATAGAGACCAGTGCAGCTAGCTGTCTTCCTTTACCCTGCATTACCTACAATGACGGTGTCCAGGACTAAGACTCTGGCTGGACTGTGCTGAGACAGACTGACAAGGTGGGAGCAGGCAGGGAAACTCAGCTCCACGAGAGCTGCAGATTTGGAGCAGGTGAAAGACAAGCATCTGGGAGAAGACCTTCATGGTAACAGACAGGAAAGAGCAGGGGGTGGGGGTTAAGAGGACTGAATCTCAGTCTGTCTTATACTTACTGGCAATCTGACCTTCTCTGAGTCTTAGTTTCTTTATCTACAAAACAGGGGTTAAAAATAATACTTCTCAAGGTTACTATGAAAATGAAGTTCAGTACATTAAAATTTTATAGACACCCACACACTCTATTAAAGGCAGCTCTATCAGTGGCCTCCCTGTTCTGTTCTCACCGCACATCTAAGCAACCTGAGCAGCTTCCAGAGAAATGGCTGGGGGTCCCCTAGGTGCCTGCATATACTCAGACTCAGGAAGGATACCTCTCAATCTGTTGCTCACCAACTGCTCCAAGGAGTTCCCTCAAGGACCGGCTTAGCCAGCCACAGAACTACATACCTTTATGCTAACATTCAAGCCACAAAGATACTAAAGCAACAGAGAAACTAAGGACTCTAGGGAAAGGGTGGGAAAAACATAGACGTCTGGTAAAACCAACTCCCTATCTACTATACAAGCGATAGAAACGTGTGGTATACACAAGCAGGGCATCTCATTGCAGCTGATTCCATATCTTAGGAAGCTCTACTGTCTTACTCAAGAACTTGTTGAAGGAAGCTATACCTGATTTTCTGCACATGGAATCCAACTACCTGAACTCCAACTTAAGTAAACAGGTGGTACAAAGGTTCCAGCCACCCACAGACACTGGGAAGCAGAAAGGTCCCCATCACTGACAGTTCAGCTAGCTTGAGCCCAGAACCAAAAACAAATAATTTGTTTGATGGGTGGTGGTGTGCACACCTTTAATCCCAGCACTTGGGAGGCAGAGTCAGGTGAATCTCAGTGAGTTCAAGGCCAGCCTGGTCTACAAAGCAAGTTCCAGGACAGCTAGAGCTATTACACAGAGAAACCCTGTCTGAGGGGTGGGGGAAGCTTCAAAGGAGACTGAAGTTTAAAATCAAACAGCCTTGAGGTATGAAAAGACGGCTCTTCTGTAACTTGACTGTCAGTGTCAACTGCAGCTTTAAAAGCCGCAGAAAGCAAGTTACCACCGAAAAGCATGTGTGACTCTTACCCTTCCACTCGGGAGGCTGTGGAGCGTCGCGGCCACCACTTACCTTAATGGACAGCGCATAGAGATGGTTCAGCATAACATGATTGGGTTCAGGAAGTAAGGCTGGGTCACACTAGGAGAAAAAACAGCCCCACCCCCCACAAATGTGATTAAATGCAGACAAAACCAAGTTAACTGTTCCTTTGAACTGTTAAGAACTCTAAATAGGTAACACTTTGTCTCCTATGAATTATGTATTCCCACATCATAAAATCTGGAAAAATCCTAAATCTAAGAGTGAAATGCTAAGCCCCAACATCTGCTAACTTTCCTTAATAGAATTAAAACAAAAACCTTGCTGACAGGTATAGATGGTTTGGGAATCAACCATCAATTAAGTAAAATAGAGATAAAATTTACTTACATAAAAAGTTGTGAATTCTGTATAACCCCTAGTGAGAGTACCCTTATCTTGTGATAGACTAGAAGTCATAGTAGACATTAATTCCAGCATAGTTTGGTTCTGATTTTACTAGAAACAGAAACAACTATAAATTCCGCTATTGGTACCTAAAGTTCAGTCTTGGAAAAAGTATTCTACAGTGCTGCTGACATGCACATGGCTTATTTCATTGCCTTGACAAAGCTGGGTCCTAATTCCAGCCCCAAGATTCCTGAAGTTTGGCCTCAATGGTCCTAAGATTCCCCAGACGCTTTAGCAACCTGCTCAGGATACTCACTGAAATATTAGTGTCCTTGTTAAGAATAACTTGGAGTAGGTGAGGGGGCAGAATGGGTGGGGATTTGAATCTCTCCTCAGATCGAAACACATACATTTCTTGACCATAAGGCCCTGGGGGTGAGCTGGATAGGTCTGAAAAATATTCATGCAAACGTGAAGGAAAGTTGAAGGGTTAGTAATAACGCATGAGGAAAACTATCAACACAGCCATTAATCTTAAATGTAATATAGGTCCTGAAGCAACGGACTTGTGACCTACTGGCCTGTAACTGTAAGCGAGCAAAGGAAATGTCTGAGTTGTCCTGAACATGGACCAGGAAGATTCCCAACAAGGCAACATGATGTAAGGAAGTGATGAGAGGCCAGCACCTAGGCTCCAGGAAACCAACTCCATTTGTCAGCGATATGTCCTTGGACAGATCCCTTTAATATGGTCAGTTTCCTCATCCTCAAGATAAAAATCTTCCCAAGTCATAGTGCTTTTGAAAAAAATCAAAGTGATAGTAGAAATAAAGATGCTCTGTGAACTCAATGTGAAAAGATTAGATTTCATTTTATTTCTACCAAAGTAACAGACAACAACGTTATACACTCTAAGTCTACAATGATTACAGCAGACAGAACACACTGTAGCTGTAGTCAAGGAAGTGTAGATGTAAGCCACAAAAAATACCACTTCATACTCAGTGGGATGGCTGCCGCTGAAATGGCAAGTACTGGGAAACACTGGCAAATACTGTGGCTTCAAACTACAGTATTTCCACCACTGGTAGAAATGAACAATAGTGCAACCACTTTGGAAAACAGTATAGTCATCCTCAAACAGTGAAACTTTGTGACCCAGTAATTACAATATTGGGTTTATCACCTAAGATAAAACATAAGCTACCCCCCCCAAAAAAAAAAATCTGACCATGAGTGTTCTTAAGCAAAATTTGTAAGAGCTCCAAGCAGAAAACAAATGTCTGTCGACAAGGGATGGACAACCAAGAAGGAACTGTCATACCGTGGACTTCTATTCAGCCACAAACAAGCAAAGTACTGATACATGTTTCAACAAGGATGAAAGCCCCAGAAGCCTGCTAAATGAAAGAAGCCACATGGTGCATGGTTACATTTGTATGAACTGTCCAGAACAGGCAAATGCATATGGCAGAAGCTTTGTGACTGACACAGGGCAGAGAGGAGAAAGAGATGGGTTTTAAAATTCAATAATCAAAAAAATAAATAAATAAAAGGATAAATTTTACAATTAAAAAATATGTGTTTTATGGTACCGGAATTCTACTTAAAAAATGAAAAGCATTCAGGTTAAATTTACAAAAATTAAATGAACTATGTTTTCTTTGTTTCACAATTTTAAAGTTCCAAAGAAAAGATTTTAGTAAGTCTATTTTAATAACTCAAATTTGCTTCAACATATAAGGCAAAAGGAAAGAAGTAGCAACAACATTGTATTAAATATCCACAAACACCATTGGTAAATAACACAGGACAATTTTCAAGTGCTGTCCATGGCACTAAAAAATCCAAGTAGGACATTGAAAAGTTATGTACATGCCTACACCCATTATCTGTATATTCCTAATAAATGGATTCTATGCCTTACATCACTGGATTAGGAAACTGGGTGAACCCGAAAGTGTTTTAGTCTTCCCATTACATAATTATGATTGACTGTCAAATATTCTTTGGTTACTTTGCAGATCATAATATAATCATAGTCCTAGTGGCCTCAGAATATAAACCTTTTAAGATCACCACCCCTCCAGCCAATAAGAATGCTCACCATAACTTTCTGAGTTTATATAATGAAACATTTTTTTTTTCTAAATTGGTAGTTACTGTGCTATGGACAATTTGTCCCTTGTCCTTGAGATTCTGCTATGTGCTCTACTTCAGACAATATGACAGAGGCTCACTGAGGGTCCAAGCCCTCAATTTTACTGCTGGGAGTCAGTTGCACGATGGCATAACAAGTAGCAGAGGCAGACTTTGTATGCAAGAGGCCATATGCTCAGTGCAGAAAGTGTGCAATTCTCCAGGCAGGCACAACTCCATCATACAGTAATGAGATAGTAACTATGGATATGGTTTGCAAAACGTGCCTCTGCTACTACAGCGAACAAGCACAGCTATAAAGACTTTGGGGAAAGTGGTATTACACCAAACAAAAATAAACAGGACTTTCACCCTGTATATTCAACTCCATGGAGAACAGCTATTGGTTTGTTTTTTTCTCTCTTTTCTCTTTTTCCCTCAGCAACAATTACACTTGTAGGCTCTCCTAAAACCATAATTGTCAGCTGAGCTCTCAAACTAGCTGATTCAGGTTAGGAAGACGTAGCCAGCCTTTACAGGTAATATTACCAGATGCTAATGGAAAAGTGTGAAATCTTACTGGAAACAGCTTTCAAAACCACAGGCTATGGGTGGGTTATATAAAAGCAAAATGGAAAACAGTGTATCCAAGTAAGAAAGGCAGACATTATACCAAGGGATTTGTGTTAAAGTGGGGTGTGTAGATGGTGTGATTATAAGATTCCTGATAAAACAAGAAACCACTTTGGGAAAGAAATATGCATTGTAAGAAAGAGAAAGCAATAGTGCAAAATTACCTCGACAAGATGTCTCAGAGCTTTCCATGGAATCTAACTTTAAAGCATCGAATACTTCAAAATCAGATTTCTTGACATGGATCAAATTATTAATTGTGCCAAGCTGACTGGTAACCACAGGCTGAAACAGTGAATAAAAAAAAAAAAAAATGATTGGATTCCCTTTTCAAATCCATCTTCTTCACCCAACCTCCACTCTACTTTTAGGAAAAATCTCTACTAGAGAGGGCTGTTGCCTACTGAATCAGAGGGCAGTAAGTCATAGTGAGGCCACTGAGGCTTCCCTGCAAATCAAGGCCTTACCTCTGATGGATCATGAACCCACTGTCCATCCACAAAGAACTTGTACTGGTGCTCTCCCTCTGGAAGATCCAGGATGGCAACAAAGTCATTATGACTAGGGAAGAAAACAGAAGGTCAAACTGGCCAAGTTCTTTAAAGAAGACAGAATGGAGAAAAGGGCAATGATGGCACCATCACAATCACCTTCCACATTCCTATGCTATACAGCCCTTGTGCCCCAACCCCCTGCAAAGTATAAATCCATCCTCTTTTTCTGTATCACTCAAGCCATGTACCTGTCAACCTCTCCCAATAACTTTATTCTTAACTAATCTGTGTGCGTGCTTGCACCAGGGTGTGGGTGTGAAGTGTGGGGTGTGGGGTGTGGGGTATGGGTGTAGGGTGTGGGGTGGTGTTGGGGTTGGGGTCAGAGGATTGATTGCCAAAATATTTTCTCTTAGTAAACTATTTTGTTTCAGCAGAACAGAACCTTGGGGCTGGGGAGATGGGCTCAGCCAGGAAGAGTGCCCGAGAGCTTGAGGACCTGAGTTTGAATCCTCAGTAGCCACATCAAAAGCTGGGCATGGCTACACATGCTTGTAACTCCAGCACTGGGGAGTAGAGAAAGCAGACCCAGAGAAACTGCTGCCAGTAAAGCTAGCTGAAATGGAGAAAATCTGGTTCAGTGAGTTTGTCTCAAGGTTAGAAGTCATAGAGGAAGATACTCAGGTCTTGCTGTGGCCTCCACATGTATATACATGGGCATACCTGACTGAATGTACATGTATGCACATATACATGTACACACACACACACACACACACACACACACACACACAGCAGAGCCCTCACAAGTATAAATAAGGTAAAAGGTAATATTTCAGGGTACTCTTTTCATATTTTGGTGAGCCTTTTCTCGAAAATAACCTATTATATAAAAGGTCACTCTGACAACCACATAAATCATTCACTACTGCTTTGCCAGCAATGAACTGGCATATACTTACAATATCATAATGCATTTTGCTTTAATACAGAAATCAAAGCAATGGGAATTTGCTAGTTGCAGACTTCCTCTGGACAAGAAATGGCTTGAGAAGCACAGTCCTGAAGAAATGCACCCATAATGCTGTTAGAGACTCCCCAGAGGCCTACTCTCTCCCCTGAGAAAGGGAATCAGGTGTCTACTCCTGCACTCTATAGATGCAGCGGAGACGCGTGTCCTCACCTCTTAATCAGTGGAATCTTGGTGCTCCAATTGTTGAAGGACCCAGAGATGAAGACCTCCTTGCCCCCTTCAGACCAACGGATAACAGTAGGCCGGGCCTGCTGGGTGGGCTTCACAGAATCATCCAAGTCCTGCTGCCAGGGTACAAACTCTTTTTCCCCGGGGAGCTGTAAGAAGGAGTAGGTCATCCCTAGAATAAATTATGACCCAAGGTTTTTTAAGAGGTAAGTTTCCCTGGGGTATTAAAGGTTCTAGGTTTCAACTAAAGATAGCAACCCTAATTCTAGCAATTAAATCAAGAGTTTTAACAAACTACAGAAAAGAACTAATATAGGGTCCAAAATGGTCAAATGGCTTATATCCTAGCATAGCCTAAATCACAACCTACTGCCCAGTGTGCGCATATCATTTTCTTTGCAGAACTTCTCTGGATCACCCCTCAAACAAACAAACAAAACCCTCCAAACCCTTCCTCCAGTCTCATTTGTGTGTAGCCAATTAAGATACACTTCTGACGGTCTCTTTTTTTTTTTTTTTTTTTTTTTTTTTTTGGTTTTTCGAGACAGGGTTTCTCTGTGTAGCTTTGGAGCCTATCCTGGCACTCGCTCTGGAGACCAGGCTGGCCTCAAACTCACAGAGATCTGCCTGCCTGACGGCCTCTTAAGAGAAAAAAAAAATGTAAGAAAGTCAAGTATGGTTCTTTAAAAGAAAATCAAGCCAGATACATATTTTTTTCAGAAGCAAACAGGTCTCGATTGTCAATTGCAATTAAAGTTATAGATACCAAAATTCCTAAGTAGTTAACAATGCTGTTTTAGCTACTAGGTTATACAACGGAACATTAAAGGTGGAGATGTAGTTCCGTGTAGAGCTCTTTCCTACCAAGCACGAGGCTGACGGTTTCATCTCCAACACCATCATCTATCAATCGACATAAATTCCAAAGCAAGACCACCGATTCAGTATGGCTGAAATGGTTATGAGACCTTACTTGCTAACTGAGGCCAGGTATATATAATTGCCCCAAGAAGATGGATGATATTTTGGAGCTCTGTGTGCACAGGATCAACAGCAGCTTCCTTGAGCAAAAGCAGATCCATTACTAAACAGGGTTTATAGGATTCTGAGAAATATGAATTTCTTAGTTTCTTTCCATCACCAACCTTCAGGAAAAGTGTGGGCAAACTGTAACCAGTGAGCCAGACAGCTTTTTACAAAGCTTTTGTTTGGAAACAGCCTCTCACTTGTTTACTGCCATCCACAACTTTCTGTCTCAGTGGGCGGCAGACCTGGGGAGCTATGACACACTGTGTGACCCACAGAGTCTAAATTATTTATTATTTGTTCTTTGACAGAAAAGGTTTGATAATCCCTACTTTCATTGGCTTCAGGGACTGGAATAAGACTGTATGGCATCAAGTCAAACATTACATACAACACAGTAAAGGTTAGAGAAAGAAAAGACTAGCTGATTTGGGCTTTTCCCTGCTTTATCTAAAATGAAAAAATTTACCTTTCATTCTGTCTTCCAATAGTTCTGAAAACTACTGTACAAGTACAAACCAAAGTAAAAGGAGAAAGAACATGAAGGGACTTTTACATTATTCAGGAGACTGGGCTAAGACAAAGCTTTGGCTCCACAGTCTCAGAGCAATGCACTGGGGGTTGATGGCTGCATTAGGCATGTTTACCAATGCCTAAGAACAACCCTCAGATTCTAATTCCCAAACAGAACCTGAGAACATATTTTTTTTAAAGCTATCAGATAATTATACTGTACTTATATTACAATAAACAGGGAAAACGTGTTTTGTTTTTTCCTAGGGGGGTCAAATTCTCACTCCGGATTGGCAGTGACCCTCCTGCCTCAGTCTCTGAACAGCTGCAATTACAGGAGTGAGCCACTACTGTATCAGCTTTAAAGAACAATCACCTTTTTAGGTATACCCTAAAATGTTAGAAATACTATTTGTTGGCATCTGTTTCAGAGTAGTGGGTGGGACAATGGCTTGGAGCACAGAAAGCCACTCATTCGTGACCTTTCAGCACCATTTCAACCGGGTGACATACACACAGTTCATTGTACTGTTCTAGTTTATAAATGTGTCAGATTTCCCATAAGGTTTTAAAAACAATCTTAGGGATCCTAATGTTCAAAAGGGATGGAGAACCCTAGTGAGTCTACTAAAAAGCCTGACCTTTAGAGCAAAGATGCCCCCCACCCACCCCACTGTCTCTATCAGTTACTTTTATGACGGAGGATTTTCAGTTCAGGATTTGAAAGCTCTACACTATTAATACACCTGGCTTTGGAGCAAAGCCCTTCCACTTATGACATGACATTTCTGTGGTAGCAGGGAACGCAGCAAGACTGTTTACTGGAGTTGAACCACCAGCAACAGCAGCAAATCGGCAATTCAAATTACAGTCTGAAGATGATTAAGGAAAAAAAATCAGTGGGGGGAGGACATGTGAACTATAAAGTTTTTAATCTTCATGAGACTGGGGGGGGGGGGTTGTTGGAACTACTTTTCTCATTTCACAAACGGCAAGATGTGAGGGAAAGAATGTTCCAAAACAGGCCTGAATTCACACAGAGCAAGCTGGCTCCTATTCAGGACACCAATTACTGCAGTCACAGTTTGAATGTACCCAAATCCTGAGTCATCCATGTAGGAATGAGCAAAAATACACGGCCTGTCACCCTGGGTAAGCTTTGGAGAACAAAATCCAGGCTGAGCACAGAGCCCCAACGACGAGGAAGAAGTCCTAAAGTGGGGACAAAGAGGGAACCCCAAGAAACGCACAGCTCAACATCTCTTACTTCCCTAACGGAGTCCTCAATCAGGACTCAAGAAAACAAGCCATATAATCCAAATTCCACATGCTGTCAAAGAGGTAAATAAAACTCTATTCACTATCCTAAGCCTCAGTGCAGTGGGAAGGGATAAAGTGACAGGCGCCAAGTATATCCCAATCATCTCCAACCCTCTGGTTTTTCTTTTTCACTCCTGACAGCCTACTTGAGAAATTAAATGTTTTTAATGCTGACATTTCTAAAAGTGATTAGGAACATTAGGGTAGCAATCATACTGCTGTCGGCTCCATCTGCCTCTTCTTTTGGGTGAACAAAAATGGGCCTTTGGCTGGAAGTCTCTGGCATTGGTGGCAAAGTCTTCGGGCAGTTGTGGGTGGTTTTGAGCCTCAGGCAACATTTTGAACATTTCGAAGCACTATAGTGGAGTGAAGGGAAGTAACTTGCTCTCCCACAAGGCACAGCCAGGTGTGCAAAAAGCACAGTCACAATCGCCACGTTTATAAAAAAAACCAACCAAACAAACCTGAAGCCATTATCCAAATGATGCACTGTTCTGATCACCAAGACTAGGCGAAAGTATTCAAGTAACCAAGTGATAACTGCTGAGAGTCACGCAAACGGGGACGAGGATCAAAAAGGGGACGCAGGGCCCCTGAGAGCAAAGGTGATATCTACACAAAGGCATTTTCAGGGAAAAGAAATACATTTAAATATCTCGAGGCCAATGTGAGAAACGGAGCCCGAAGCAGCAGCTCAAACAAGGCAACCTCTTAAGTTTCCAAGCTCGCTCACCACCTATACATCCTGCAAGCTCCACCACAAGAAGGCAAGATGTGGTGCAGAACCAAGGATGGGGCGGGCAGGGGACGTGTCTCTGGTACCGGTCCTGAAAGTATGGCCCGCAGATCAGTCAGAAGGGCAGGAAAACAACTCCACGCCTCTATCCTCATTTGAGGCAGCACCTAGGAGGCATTCGTACTCAACATCCCTGTCCGCGGGAAAGCCCTCTAAAGTCATAAAATAAAATGAACCCGTAACCCTTGGGAGTGAGGAGGAAGAACCAAGAAGGGAGAAGCAGCCGGCAGCCCCGTGGACTCACCTTGGAGTCGGGCAGGTTGAAGACGCTGGGGTCGTCGGTGCTCCCCACCATGATCTTGTGCTCCTTGCCCGGGCCATGGCCGCCGCCCTCGGCTCGCGCAGCCTTGGCACCGTGGCGCTCCCCGGACACCCGCTCGC